TTTCCAGGTTGCAGTTGTCAGGTATATTTTCCCACCAGGAGAGAAGTTAACCAACACATCTATATTATTTAAGGTTCTTGAGGAGAACGGAACAATATATAGAATGCTGAGCCCAATACAATAGAAGTCACAGAACAAGACAGACCAGGGATGTAGCACAAGTCCAAGGTTGTAGGCCAGGAAGGTGACTGGAGAGTTGTCACTGTGAGACTGTGTTGGAAGGCTGAAGATATTGGAGACCTGAAGTGTGATGTCCAAAAGTGACAAAAGCAAAGGATGCACTGGCTCAGGAAGGCAGGATCAGCACAGTTCATAACACCTAAATCTTGGATATGGCCTATATGCCCACCAACAAATGAATTGACAAAGAAAATGTATTTATGCACCTTGGAGTACTACTCTGCTATAAAGAAGTATAAACTTGAGTCACTTATAGGAAAAGATACACACTGAAACCATAATGTTAAGTGAAATAAATCAAACACAAAGTTTAAATATTTCACGGCTTCTCTTCTATAAGAACTCAAAATATAAATAAAGAAAACAAAACCTATAAAGGAAATATGGAGATAGATCTTTTGCAAGAGGAAAAAGGACCAAGAGAAGCAGGGAGGGAGGAAGAAGGGAAGGAAAAGGAGATGAGATTTAAAGGGTATTTTAAAGAGTGGTGCCAACTCCCCATGAGAAATGTAACCATTATGTACTGCAAACATGGCCTAGTAAAAAAAATAATAATTAAAAAAAAAGAAGACCGGAGCTCTTCACGACAGGCATTCTCTCTTCCTTTATTCCGTTTCCACTCTAAGTCTACTGCTTGGTGACACACAGAAGTGGGGTTGGTCTTCCCTCATCTGTGTGCTGGCCCCATATCATCCAGAGACACACCCAGAACTGTGTTTCACTAATCTACCAGACATTTCGTACTCCAGTCAAACTAACATATTACAACTAATGCTCACAACTCCCAAATACATTCAGACAAAATAGTATAGTGTAAAAACACACTCAGCATTTCAGTTAACAAGAAAATATGCACAAATCCATCTCTGGAACTTATAGTCTATATGATTTATGATGTCTTTTTAAAAAAACAGTAGTAGATCTTTTGCCTTCTAAAAGGATGATGTCAGATAATATAATCAATAAAACCTAATTAATATTTAATATCTAGAGTTATATTCATGAGTCAGCTTGCTTGTTTTGAGAGGCTGTACCCTAAAAAGCACTGGCTCTTACACTTGACAGTAAGTATTCAGAAGGGATATAATATGAGAGAAAAAGAGGAGGAAAGTGATATAAAGGAAGAAGAGCTTATTTCTATACATACTTTGTGTCTGCTACTTGGCTGGGATTTAATATATTTTATCACAGTAAATGCAATTGAAACTACATTCAGTAGACATTTTTTGGAGGTTCCTGCCTCCTCAGGATGTGGCCAAGCAGATTTTTTTAATTGTGCAAAACTATACAGGATATGAGTTTTACACTATTAACAAATTTTAAAGGTGTAGTACAGATGTGTTAACTATAAACAACACTTTACAGCAATTTGCTAGAACTTATTTTTTTATCACAAATGACTGAACCCTTATTTCTGTGGAGTAGTCACTTCACCCCTCCTCATGGCTCCTGGAACCCTCTATTCTGCATTCTGTTTCTATGAATTGGACTGCTTTAGCTTGATACAAAGTCTACCATTTTGTTTGGCTTATTTCACTTAGTGTAATGTCCCCAAAGGATGTTGTAGCATGTGACATTTTTACAGCTGAGTAATAGTCCACATTTTTCTTATTCATCTGTGTGTGGGCATTTAGGTTCCTCTCACCTCTTGGCTATCATGAACAATCTTGCACAAAACATGAGAATACATTATTTCTTTCAGACTCTGATTTCAATTCTCTTGGATACATGCCCAGCAGTGGAAGTACTCTTCATGTGGTAGCTATATGTTTTTTAATTTTTTGAAGAATTTCCATTCTGTTTTTCTTGATGACTACAAAATTTCTCATGTAGAGTATACAGGATTTCATTTTCTTACTTTGTCAACATTTATCTCTTGTTTTCAGTAATAGTCATTTTGTCAGATTGGAGGCCGTAGCTCACTGTGGTTTTGGCTGGCATTTCCTGTTGACTGGCGATGTTGACTTTCCCACATACCATTAGCTTTATTGGTTTGTTTTTGCCCCTCAGGTATAGAAAACTCTGGGATACTAGCCCCTTATGGGATATATGGTTGGAAAATATTTTACACTATTCTATAATTTTGTTTTCCACAGATTGTTCACTTTGCTGTGCAGAAGCTTTTGTTTTGATGTAGTTTCACTTGACTTTTACTTTCACTGCCTGTGCTTTTTTGGTGTATTACTCAAGAAATCACTGGCAAGACTAATGGCATGAAGCTTCCCCTGACTTTTTCCTATTATTTTAGTTTCAGGTATTGCATATAATTCTTTGATTCATTTTGGAGTGCATTTTGTATAGGTGTAAAATAAGAGTCTGATTCTATTCTGCTTCTTATGATGATCCAGGTTTTTCAAAAACAGTTGTTGACCAGATACCATGCAGTACTCTTGGCCAGTGTTAAAAATCAATCCCTTTTAATTTTTTTTGAAAATTTTACTCATTTATATTTACTTGACTTTTAAAATACTCAAACCAAAAGGAGTGTTTTTTGCTCATTATTTATAATTTTATCACATTAATTCAAACATCCTCTGAGTCAAAATTATACACTTTTTCTGGTAATTTTTTGAAAGAAGGGAAAATGTAAGGAAAACTGGTTCATAGTTCTACACTATTGCTTGTATTGTTCATGTTTTGTGATTGTTTCTTGTTTGGCATATTGACATTAAGTGATAGTGTTGAAATTCTACTCTTTTGTCTTGAATATTATACTATACTTTTAGGTAAGAGCTAATTGAAGGTAAGCAGCCTCACTAGACCTCCTTAGTAAGTCTTATGTCAGAAGTCCTTCCAACTGGTGACACTTCTGAGCATGCAGGAATGGATTTTGGATGGCTATGGATGTATCATTTCACAGATGACTTTTCACTGTATCTCCAGGACCTCAGCAAATATCCATTGTGAACTCAGTTTGTCAATCCTCATTTTAGAGAACCTAGCAGAAACAGTTCTAGCAGCGTGTCACTTAACACTCCAGGAACAAAGTGAATTCCAGAGATGAGAATATGTAGTTGGAAGCTTTTTGGTGTAGTATGGCCTCCCTGGATTTCTTTCATGACAGTCAAAGCATTAGACCTCATTTTTAGTCTCTATTCCATTACTGTATATAGAATAAATTGTCAAGTGTACTTCCTCCTGACACGTGCTTCATCCATATAGAACTGAAGTATTCCATAAATAAGTGGAGGTAGTTATTTCTGCAGCTAATTATTTCTTTTTATAGGTTCACCAGAAGTGCAAATTGTATCCTTCTGACAACCCACCAGACAAACAATGTCATTTGAAAGTACATGAAACTGGTTTATGCAGCTTGGCAAACAGAGGGTATAAGGACATGGCATCAGAGGCTATTTAATTGAATATGTAGTTTTGATTTACACCCACTTAGATATGCTCAGAATCTCAGTCATTTTCCTCCTCACTGAGACACAGTACCCAACGCCTACTACATGAAGGAGGAGAAGTTTATTTTGGCTCACAGTTTTAGGAGTTTCAATCCATGGTCAGCTGACACCAATACCCAAATGGCATGGCAGAAGGGCAAGGCAGAAGAGAAGCCACTGATGCTATGGTGGCTGGCATGCAGAGAGTAAAGGAACCACTGAATTCACCCTAGATGAACCCACTCTACAGTACAGTGCTCCCATAGTCCAACTGCCCTCCAAAACCCTGATCTGAGCACATGAGAATTTGGAGATTATATATATGTATATATAGATATATAGATAGATAGATAGATAAATAAGGATAGAGATATATGCAAACTTCCAAATCCAAAAAATTTCAGAAGTCTAAACAGTACCGATCTCAAGCATTTTGGGTCAGAGATGCAAAACCTGTACTTATAAAAGTAGGTGATGGACCATATTTGGCTTGTGGGGCTGTGGCGTCCCTGGTATAGACCAACTCAATGATAAACAAACATCTGTCTTTCATCTCTGTGACTCATCTCCTTGCTCCCTTTGATTCCTTATACACCAGTCACACTTCTTATTCCATGACAATGATAGCAGTAATAAAAACTATAAAAGTTGACATGAAGTATAATTGATATGTGTTTGAACCTGGGAGGAGTATATGACAAGTTCCTCCATATGATGTGCCGTATTACAGACTGAATTGCGTTCTGTCAGACTCGATAGGTTGAGACACTATAACCAATGTGACTATTTGGGAGAAGGAAAGTAAGGTTAAGTGCAGTTGTAAGAGAGGGGCTCTGGTCTGAAAGAACTGATGTCTTTGTAAGAAAGAAGAAAAGACACAAGATCTTTCTCTACGTACATGTTACCACCTACAATTTGGGTTTCATTCAGTCACAGGGGACAAAAGTAAAATTGGCTAGGATTGAGCTAGTGGAGACTTACTTCACAAAAACAGCAGATGGAACAATATCAAGTTATCTTTCAAATTCAAGTCAATCAGTGAGTGACATCAGGCACCATTCTTTTGTGGCTGAAAATGCCTTAGACCACCACAGGTTCTCCATATGCTCTCTCCCTCTGGGGATGTGTTCAGTACCAGTCCAGTACCAGGATCTTCCAGTGAATTTTGTGACTACATAGTTCCACAGCATGCCAGTAACAAGATTCTGAGAACAACACAGCTGCAGGGTGGAGGCAGTAGATAACAAGTTGTTGCATTCCACCCTTATCTGATGCCTGGGTGCCTCCTTGGATCTCCCATATCTGTTAGCTCACGGCAGAGCAGCATTTTCTAATATGGAAACTTCTACCCACATGCAGCTGTTGAACCCTTGAAATGTAGCTGGTCCCAACTGATATACACTAAAAGTGTAAAATACACACCAATGTCAGAAATTTTGTAAATTAAAAGCTTTATATCAGTTCCACTGATACCTTGGATAGACTAGCCTTCATCAAATACATTGTTAGAATTGCTTTTAGCCATTTGCATAGCTACTGAGAAATTTAAAACTGCACATATGGCTTGCCCTACATTTCTGTTGGAGAGGGGTGCTCCAGAGACTCACACATACCGGTGGTCATTTCCTTGGTCTTTCCCAGGCCACAGGTACCAGGCTCTAATGTAGGGAATTGTCAAGAAGCAATATGATGAGGTTTGAAAATTTACTAGTTTGCGTCATTAGATGGGATGCACAGAACTGAGAGACAGCTTGGCTGTTCATGGAAATACATAAGCTAGGTAGGGAGCTGGCAGGAGGACAGGTAGATTTACACAGCTGTCGATGGCCTGAAAGACTGTAGCATCCCACTTCTCCTCTAGGTGCTCCTTCCCAACTTGCATGCAGAGAGTGGATATTCTCTGTCTGTCATTGGACTTAACACAACAAAAGGATAGAATTTTTCCAACTTCTGTAAAAAAAGTTACTATCTAAGAATTGACAAAGAAATCCCCCAAATCCCCCCAAAAATGTGTTCTGCTGAGTCTACATTTATTAACAGGTGGTTGGACAGACAACACTATGATGAGATTTCCAGAGCACAGACTGGGTAGGGATTTCTCCACGCCCTCAGACGACACAGTCTAGCAGGAGAGAGGGAAAGACTGAAGACCAGGGAGTCCAATCCCAAAGGCTCTGCACTGTTTCCTACAGTAAGTAAAAAGAGCTCTGAAGCATTCTTGTTATATACAGATGGCAAAGGTAGGCGATTCAGAATTGGGTTGTGTTTGTTTTCCTCGAGGTTTTCATCAATCCTTGTATCACTGGTCCTAAAAGAGAAGACAGGAAGGTGAGATGCTAGAACTCAGGGATACTGCAGAAATCCAAGCTGGATAACCAGCTTGTATCTTAATCAAAGAAACCCACAGATTCATGCATTCTACCAAGGGCTATTTACAGTCACTTTCACAGTGCATTCAAGGTGATTCCACAAGTATTGTTTTAGACAATATTGCAGAAATCCAAGCTGGATAACCAGCTTGTATCTTAATCAAAGAAACCCACAGATTCATGCATTCTACCAAGGGCTATTTACAGTCACTTTCACAGTGCATTCAAGGTGATTCCACAAGTATTGTTTTAGAACCTGGCATGTGGTGCATTTTGAGCTGGGCACAAATTAAACATGTTTTAACTCTAAATCTGCTCTTGACTACATGTGACCCCCATGGTGATAAAAAAGGGTACAGGTCATTAACACCATTTCTCAGGTTTGAAAACTATGCTCCAGAGTTTAATGACTGACTAAATTCTCAGATTAACTCAGGACAGTACGATTTTAATGACCCATGGGCTGGGGATTTAGCTCAGTGGCACAGCGCCTGCCTGGCAAGTGCAAGGTCGTGAGTTTGATTCCTGGTACCAGAAAAAAAAAAACAAAAAACAAAACAAAACAAAAAAAACCCGATTTTAATGACCCTAATGCTTTTCCATCACAGTTTGTTTAGGCTATTCATAAAATCAGCTGCTTTCCTTGCCTGACTCTTCCATATTTTCTACAGTATACCCCTGACTTACAAACATTCGACTTGTGAGCTTTCACAGGAGTAATGTTTAAGACTCATTTTGTCAGATCTCAAACAAATCTGACTTGCACACAATTCTCCTGAAACAGAACCTGTTCATAAACTGGGGACTTACTGCATTTAAAACATTAAATCAATGTCTTAAGAGGATTCAGGGAGTTTTCTCTACATATCAGCACATCAGCTAGTACTGCCTGGAGCATAAACAGCAAAACACAGTTACCCCAAATGTACACATCTCATTTGGGGCCCATACCAATTTCACACTGGAATGGGCCAGGCTATGGTCTTGTTGAATCTTTGAAAATCTCTGTCACAAAGTTGAGAATAGCCTTTTTTTAATCTCACGAAGTAATGCTAGTATTTTCATTACTAGAAGAACTATTTGAGTACAGGTGGAACAGATGGCTCACAGTCCAGCATTGTTCTGCTGACTACTGTGGTTGGATGTCCCCATGTTGAAGGTTAGAACTTATCGCCTGGTTTAGCTAATCTTACAATTGACACAATGCCTACTCTACAGCCTCTAGTTTTCTGACCCTCCTCAGAACTCAGGAATTGTGACAGGTGATTAGAATGAAGCCAGAAGATCTACATTGGGCTCCAAATATTGTGCTGACTAACTCTGATAAATGACATGATTTCCCCCATTTTGTTTTCTATAAAATGAGGAAGATAATCCTGGCCCTCATCACAGGTTATTGTGAGGATACAAAGGAAAAATGCACATACAACTCTACTCAGCTACATAAATTATAGTAGTCACTGTATGATAGTTAGTATATGATAGCAGCAGTCTAAGTTCTAGGGTCATTACCCTATTTTCCTAGGAAAGTTGTGACTGCCTGGCATTATTTCCATTTTTGAGTGGTTAGATACTCTCAGAGAATCTTCTACCCAGGAGTAAAGCTCAGACAATAAGTTGCAAATTCTAAGATATACAATCTTAGTAGTCATCAGAGCAATGCTGGGTCATGTGTTATCTGTATCACCTATCTTCAAGATTGTACCACTGAACTGCACAAGGAGAACTGAAATTTCACTCATATCCGGTACAACTTCAGTTGTAATGATTTCTATCAACACCACCGTAAAAATTCCTGTCATTAATAATGATGGGAAAAACACAGTTATAATGAGAAAAAAAAATGAGCAAAGTGAGTGATGTTTAAGCATCAAACCAAACTGAAAATAGAAGAATAGCCTGGGATCTGCATTCAACCAATGTCTAGTAGGCATGCTGAACCTTTCTAATAGAAAAAACAAACTAGAAATGTAAGGAGGAAACTTCCTTGTTTTTTTTTTTTTTAAAAAAAGAAACTCATGTACACATCTGTCAGGATTCTTCATTGCTTGAAGAATACATCTTATCAATATAAACTTAAGGCAAGCACCTCATGACATACTTTCTGTTAAGTCACCTACACAGGATAAGAGTACAGGGAAGTGAAGTTCCAGGTGTGGTCTACTGGACTTGCACAAGGTTATTTTGACCTCTTTGTTCTGAGATATACAGAAGTAGATGTGGTTGTGAGAAAGAACGGTATATTCCATCAATAAAACAAGAAGCAAGCCACTAAGTGTTTATGGGAAATAGAGAAAATAATATAACAACTAGAGTAAAATTTTAAGCCTTCTTTTTATGAATATGTAAAGACCAAGAGTAAGTTAATAACTGCTAAGTCTACAGGAGAAGGAAATGAGTTCTAGTCCTCAATCTATTCTATTCTTACTTTCTACAACTATGTGAGAACCCAAACACCCTAGTTGATGGCTTTTGAATGGCCAATTTCTCGTATCAGGGCAATGTGACTCCATACTGCCATAGTGCTACTTAACAATGTTTTCTGAATCTAGCAGAATACATTCCAGTTCCAACACTGTTAAAGCTCATTATGCCAGTGAAATGGAGCAAATGCAGTTGGGAATAAAAATATTTTCTTAAATGTCATCTATTAAAACATTATTATATTAGATACAGTTACTAAATATTGTTGACTTTTATTAATTTATTTATTAAAATTAAATAAATATAGTGGCAAGGCCTAAGTGTCTAAGTTCATATCTTGGCCTCTTTCTCTAAGTCTGTGATTTGGTTTAAAACGACATCAAAATTGTGATAATAATAAAAGATGCTACTCAGTTTTTCAGGCATGGTGCGTAATGCTTTAAAGTCAATGTTTTGTGAAATTTTAAGGGTTTGTTGAGATCTCCTGGTCAGAGTGTTTAGGTGATTCACAGAAGTCTCCATATGAAGAACAATAATTCAAACTATAGTTTGAACTCATATTTATCTTATAGCAAAGTGTTTCCTTTTATTTAAAACTTTCTACTTTCCCAAGTTGCATATAATCTTTTCTGGGGAGTAGACAACCTCAAATTCAGTCTCTAGGGAGAATATGAAAGCTGAGTTATCCTTGTACAAATTTTAGTGGAACAGGCTAACTTCCAATGTTGAGAAAAAAAAAAATGCAGTGCTACATGCAAGGATACGGTTGTTACATAGCAATGGTTCAAATCCAGCTCGGGCACTATCTGACCTCTCAGTTTCTGTTTCGTGTTTTCTTTGTCCCTCACAGAGAATAAAACCCATCCTGCAAAAGTAGTGTTAGATTAAAGAAACTGCTCATAAACAACCTATTAAATATTCCAGTAAAGAGTTTTAAATGTAAACTGCTATGTTACTATCTCCAAAATTTCAGTAATCACTTAATTATCTTCACAGTGAAAGTGAGACCCATTCTGGGATCACCTAGTATCACTTCCCTGACCTGGAAATTTCTGTCACCCATGTGAGAGAAAACAAAAACAGAACTAACCACTTCCAACTCCATAGCCATGAAGGCCATGTACTCACCCACGTGGGCGCTGCCAGGTGTCTTTTCTGGGGTGCTGCTCTCTTCACACCTCCCTTGGCTACGTATGTGTATATTGGTCTGACGTATCCTGAAATAGAACAGAGGAAGCGTCAATGCTAGGAGAAGCACAATTATAATATGAAAAAAATAAGGAGCATTGTGATATTTAAGCATCAAACCAAAATGAAATTAAAGGGATGGTCTAGGATCTTCATTCAATCATTGCCCAGTAGGCATAATCCATAGTAGGCCTCTCTCTTTGTTTTAGATTTATCTTCTTTCCCTGAAAATATTGCATAACATTCCATGCAGTAATCTCCTCACATAAATGTTAAATTTTCCATATTATTAATCCAAAAAGCATTTTGTAGATACAAAAAAATTAGATTTCAGAGAGAATTTGACTTTATTGAGTATAAAATTACTCGGGGAATGGAAAGGATAACAAGATACAATAACACAATTAGGGTTGCATAGTTTGAAATAATCTTAAAGGCTGGAAATTATAATTCCTTTCACTTAAGATATTATAAATCGAACATCTTGCTTGCGTTTGATGGTGGGAAATTCACTGCCTAACAAGGCAGTGTGATCTGCCTTTGAATGCTGAGAAGCTGAAATGCGTGTCCTATAACTTTTTTTATGGACACAGAAACTGTTATTTGTCCCTCTGCTCTATAATACTTACTCCCAGCCTCCTCAGCCAAGCAACCCATCCCAAGGCATTCCTTATTAATATTTTCATCCATTTGGATTTCTGACTCTTAAGTTCTTGAGTAGACGACCACTTTTTTTGGATCTATCATGCGGATAGAAATTGATGAAATTATACTGATAATTTAGGTCCTTAAACAAAATAAAGAGGAACTAAAATGTTTCTGGGCTAGAAATATGGTATATACAATAACTGAATTCCTGGATGGTTCATTTGTTGAGCAAGGATTTAGTTTCTTGAAACTCCATAAGGTACATGTATCGATTTTATAACTTGTCATCATGCTATCATTGTAGAATGGTCAAATGGAGGCAAATAGTAGAATGTTTATAGAGAATAAATTATTACCAATAGTCAGATAACATTTAAACAAAAAGATAACAACAAACCAAAACCAGATACCTTGTATTTAACCTACAATAAAGACATATTTACAGTGAACAGTACTACTCAAAAACCTGTGAAATTAGCTTTTGGTGAACTGTTTGCACTTTTCAAAAGAAGAAACCAAGACTGCAAACGATGAAGTCCTATGGCCATGGCCACCCAGATATTAAACAATCTGAAAACAGACTACAGATGTGGCATTTATCCAGGTGTGCTTTCTTTTGTATGGTATCACTTTGCTTTTGCATGGTACCACTTCCTTAAAAGGAAGACTTAGAGAAGATGGAAAATCAGCAGCTGCTAGTCATAGACCATTTTAGGTACTATAGGTGGAGATGACTCTATACAGCATTGATTCCCAACTGTTTTGCTCTGGTACATGTAAACATACATACTTATAGAGACATTTGGTAATTGTAACCCCAAACACTTTTTTATTTTTCTTTTACTTGGTAACATATATAACAATGTAGGTAAACAATTTCACTCAAGGGATAGCACTCAGTCATACTGAGTCATAGGGATATTGCTATCCCTATAAGAAAGATGGTTCACATGCTTTGACTTTTTAACTGATATGTTTAATAAATGATCTGCAATCTACCTTGAATTGGTATCTGTATACTACTGGTAGTTAGGAGTACAGTTGGGAACTGCTACACTAGAAGATAGGAAAAAAATAACTTGTACACTTACAGGTTTTCATGACACAGCATGCAGGGATTGCTGTATGTTTGGCCATTGTCACCACACACAGGCTGTAAATCCTTCGGGCAAACAAAACCCATCCTGGGCACAACTCGGTAGTGCTTGCACATCTCAGAATCCTGCATAAACAAAGCATAAAGGAGACTTGTTTTAGAGCAGCCAAGGGAAGCAATAAGTTTGGGAGAAACTCTTGGGTTCCTCAATCAACACTAAGAACAGAGCTATGACATAGGTTTTACAAAATCCCATATTTACGTTATATCATATTAGATGGACTTAACTTCTTGGACTTGGTTTCTTTTAATTGCAGATATTTCTAAACAAAGAAGAACAGAACAACAAGAAAGCAACAATCCTACAAAACATGATTTTCTGGGGCATGCCCATAGGAAGAAAACTAGGCTAACACTCATGCTAGAAATAACCTTCATTATTTTCAGTGAAGGTCCTGGTTATAATCAATCTAGAAAGTAAAGACCCTGAGACAAATACTAGTTATAGCAGCAACAATAATAATAACATGCTTAACCAGAAGAAAGAAAAATGTTGTCAGAAAGAAAAGAATTTTTAAAAGAAAGAAAAATTACAGATTTGAAGAAGACAAATCCAATGGTGCCAATAACCACATTAAATATTAATAAGTACTTTAGTTAAAGTAAATTGTCAAACTGAAAAGAAAAGGTCAACTATTACATGTTTACAAAAAATATAGTTTGAAAGTAACAGGTTGAGAGTAATATAACAAAGTAATCATAATAGAATTTATAAATAGTTTAAATGACAATGAAAATATAAGCTATTAAATCTCAGAAACTGAAGAAGAGAGGTAAGAAAAAGCTATTTATACAGACACTGTAAAGAGAGGATGTGCTAAAAATCATCAGTCTAAACTACCTCTCAACAAGCTAGGTGATAACGAGAAAATTAAACTCAAAGAAAATCACAGAAAGAGTAAAGAGGAGAAAGTGATGGAGCAGAAAATAGAACAAAGCCATAATAGCCACTTGAAACATCAATAGATGGATGGAAAATTAGTAAATTAACTAAAAGGTAGGAACACACACATCACCATTATTAGAAATAAAAAGACAACAGTGTATTAACTATAGATATTAAGAGAATAATGTAGAGGTATTATGAATAAATCTGTGCTAAAAATTTGACAATTTAAATTAACAAATTTCTTGAAAACTACTTTCTGAAACAGACAAAAAGTAAAAATAAATTTAGTAATATAGTATCTCAAATATTCATTTCAGAGGAGCCAGACAGTTTAATTTGCTTGTTCTTTTGTTTTGCTAAATGATTCAATGGCTTACTGAACTGTTTTATAGTGTCTATTATTTTGTATGTTTTATGTTTAGATTGTCCCATAGTGATGTAGATATTCAGGTAGACTTAGACCAGCAACTTCTATGAATTCCTAGCAAAGATGGATTAACCCAGGGAAACGAACCATATTTTAAGTTAACTGTTGTTTGAGTGTCCAGCAAGTATGCGGTGAAAGCATTCTAAAGAAACAGACAGAAGCAACAAAGAAGGATGCTTATTTTTTACACAGAGTACATCAGTTCTGAAACCATTTTATTTACTTCATCTTCAAAATGAACCCCACATCCATCCACTTCCCATGAGCTTCACCACTTCTACCATGGTAAAAACCAGCAGCACCTGTTCTGTGCATTACTGCAGTCACTCAGGAGCTGTCTCATTCCTGTACGTGACTCCCTGTATTTCCAAAAGAGCTCACCACTCAGCTCGCCTTTGTACTCAAGATGATTGGGGAAGGATTCAGGTGGGGGAGAGAAGTGAGGGGAAGCTGAGGGATGAGCCTTTTCCATCTGCTGAAATTTCAGAATTCAGGCATCTGACTTTGTATTTGATCACAGATGAGATTAATCACATTCACTATGCATGCACTTCTTAAAATGTTAAAATATCCTAAATCTAATCAAGGTTAAGGATTTCAAAGAACAGAATAATAACAGATGAATCATACCAGAACTCTCACTAAGCACGAACTACACTTGGTCCTCAAACCACTTGAGGCTGCACTGTATCAGCCTCTCCAGACCCTTCCGTGCGCATGGGGATTGTGGAGGGTGAGGGGCACCTGGCCTGAGAAGTTAATTTAAAGAGGAGCTTTTCAGAAGGCATCATTCCTACCAGAGAAGAATTGGAGGAATCTGGTCTCTCTTCAGAAGCTCTAATATGGGACGGCTTTGCTGGATGTTTCGCCCTTTCTAAAGCTTCTTTTTGACTAGAGAAGGAAATAAAAATTAATTTAAAACAATATTCACAAGAGTCAGCTCTGTATCTTCTAGCTGAAAGTTAAATAATCCCAGGAAAACAGGTTAGTCATAAGACATCCAGAGAGTAACTAGGATAGTACATCAAGAAAAGCAGGCTGAGAGCTCTACTTAATAGATGTGTGACCTTAGATAAGTGGCTAAAGTCCTTGAGTTTCAACTCCCTAGAACACAAGAGGAGAGCAGTACTGGTGAATCCTTCCTCAAAGAACATGTAGAACATGTAGAAAGTTAAATATTATTGTTTTCCCATGGTTTTTAAAACCATCGCCGTCACATACATTGATTTTTGAATTTGGCTGTTCTTTAGGAAAACCTAGAAACCCTTTCTAAAAGCAAATTCCTTAGCTCTAGAAGTTCTGGCATACTATATTTTGCAGCGCAGAAATCTGTATTTTTTAAAATAGGCTTTTAGTTGTATCTGATATAGTTGTAGAACAGAGATTAGGAACCATTTCTTCCAGCTATGATGCTTAAAATGGAAAAACATTAAGTACCACAGCTGGTTGTACGATTAGAACTTACATCTGGGCTTTCTGTCTCTATATCCAAGTTCTCTTGCTGCTCTGTCAGATAAGCTCAGGCTAAGGACCTTCACGCTGCAGACCTATTTTAAGAACTCCATGACTGCACCAGCACAGGCTTATTCAATCAGCACCTTGTGGACGTGCAGGTCCCCCTCTAACTGAGGCTGGAGCCAACTCCTGGTACTCACAAGACGGCTCTGCACTTGTAGCACTTGTTCTTGTAGGTCCTGCCATCGGCGCCGCGCACAGGGTCATTCTCCCGCGTGCAGATGAGCTCGCCGTTCCGCACATGCTTCCGATACTCACTGCACTCATCCTAAAAAACGAGAAAACGGGAGTGAACACGGCCTCGTCCCTTTCGGATTGGTGGTTTTCTCCAGCTCGTTTTTAGGAAGTCCTTTCTCAGCCCTGGGCGCAGACTCACTGCACTTATGCCAACGTAGGCCAAGGAACCCGCAGACTGCCTAAACTTTGCATCTTCTGCTTCATTCGTAACCTCTTTGCACTGGTCCTGGAAATGCAGGGAAACATAAAACAGCACTTGATAGACCCTACTCGTCTCCCTCTCCCTTTTATCCTTCGTTCCTTTCCCCCTTATTTTCCACAAGGTGTGCTTTGAACCCAAGGAGAACCTAACTATACAAATGTGATTATCCCTTTTAAAGGACTGAATGAAGTTGTCTTCTTTGCGGTCTTGAAAAGCAAATAGAAAAGGCAGCATGATGCATGCACACTACTGATTCGTTGATGCTGAGAAAACCATCTGGAGAAAACAAAAAAGACGTCAAAGAAGGAGGGGAAACAGAGGCTTAAGATTAATTTATAAAACACAAATCATGAATATCAACACCAAGAAATTGTGCCCAAAGACTGATTTCCTATTTTAAAATGTCAGAGATAAAGCGTGCAGTTCAGGCGCTAGGGGATAATATTCCTTATTTTTCAATCTGTATTTCTCCAAAAGCAAAAAGACTAGTGCAATAATTTACACACATTCCAGAGGAAATCTACAAAATCAAGACAGCATCAAGCCCCCAAATCAGAGCAACAAACTCTTATTATGATTCAAAGTAACAGCACTGACATCATTATTGTTTGAAACAAAGTATTAGTATTTTTATAATCTGAACCCCAGAGAAGAAGGCAAGATTCTGAAGGTAATAAGCAAAAGAGTTACTTTGGTATCTTTTAATAAATGACCTTTGCATCCTTTGAGGATTGGGAATTTGATTTTCCTTCATCTTTTTTTCTTTCTCTAGCTTCTCGCTCACTGTGAAAAAAAAATAGGATTTTTCTAGTTAGTACTGGATTCCTTTTAATCAACTAACTTTTCAGTGCTAAACATTAATAAGTTTAACTTTTTTCTCATGGTTAAAATAATTAAAAATACTATACTCTAGGTAGTTTTGAACATTGGAATTTTCATATTATATTTGCAGCAATATACTCAGTTTTAATTGAATTGGTCATCCAGGATGATATCATACTGAAAGGCTATTTTTAGACTATTTTAGACTAAACATTCTACACTGTCATCTAGAAAGTTGCCTCTTAAGATGTGTTATACATGTATATCAGCTCCCCATGATGAATGAAATCATTATCTACTGCAAACACTTACTATTTTAATTTGCATTTCTTGAATGACTAATGATGTTGAACTTTTTTCATATATTTATTCACCAGTAGTATTTCTTCATTTGAGAAGTGTGTGTTCATCTCAGATGCCCATTTTTGGACTGGGTCTTTGAATTTTGGGGACCTAATATTATTTAGTTCTTTATATGTTCTAGATAGAAGTCCTTTATCTGAAGGGCAGGGGGTTAAAATTTATTCCTAATTCATGGATTCTCTTTTAACTCTGTTGGTGATTTCTTTTGATGTGCAAAATCTTATCAATAAATGAGATCCCAGTTGCTGATTCTTTCAAGTATTTCCCATGCAGTTTGGTGAAATAAATTGGACCCACATGTGTAAATATCATATTGTCTCCCCAGGGTAAGAACATGAAAAAGTAAATACTACCCAAAATGTATGATAGATAATAAGAAAGGGAAAGAAATTGTTCAAAGGAAGGAACAACTGGGATGAGGGAAAGAAGAAAAAGAAAGAACTAAGAATATATATATATATATATTTATTTATGTATATATTGCCTTACTTCATATATATATTCATATATATATGAATAGCTGGGATAACTGTAATGCTGGGGTCTGGTGGGTTATTGAAAAGAACAGTTAATGCTTAATTTTTTTTATATTTTGACCATTTTTGCATGCTTATATTTGGTAATCTGAGCAACTGATATGAAGACAACAATATGCAGTATAACAACCATTGGTGAATTCCAACGATCTTGTCTAGTGAGACTCTGTATTGTCTCTAATGTTTTTTTAAATTATTATTTTCTTATTCTCTTTAATGGTTTGATCAATCTTGCATTCTTACATCTGGTAACCTGAGCAACTTCACTGAAGATAACAATATGTAATACAACAACCACTGTTAACTCCTATCATTTGGTTTGAAACACTGCATCATTTTTAATGTTCTTGTTTTGTTTTGTTTGTATTTTGCTATTGTTCTCTTTTCACTATTCTCTTTAAAATAAAAAAATTGAAAGTTGCCTCATCTCTCTTTTTCACGTTCCTCAGTAAATTATAACTAAATTCTCAGTTTTGATTGCTCTTTTACAGAGTGATTTGCAGTATATAAACATTTGTAACAGGTACTGTTACCTTGAACTGCCACAAAATCATATTGTGCAGTTATTGTATTTCCTTTATACATCAAAGGCACTGAGGCTTCACAAAGCAAATCAGCCTCTCCCTGGTTACTTTCCAATACACTTCCTCCTTAAAGATCACAATTTTGTCAGCATATACTCCTACCCCGGAGACTCCAGATCTGACTATGTTTCTCACCATCTGAATAAAAATTCTTGTTACAGTACTTTGGAAACTAACTATTCTTCTCTCAACTGAGGAGCTACTTGTCTCTAAAACATAAAGTGTCTGAGGCGGAAAGTAACAGGAGCTATTTTCTGTCAAATAGGCACACATATATAGAGAAGTGTGTTTACGTACAAGATGGTTTGGCACATGGCACACTTGTTGACGTACATCTTCCCATCGAGGCCCCGGAAGGGACTGTTGTCTCTGGTGCAGACAAGTCTTCCATTTTTCTGCTTGCTCCGGAACTCAGAGCACTGATCCTGCTAAATAGGAGAAACACAAAGGTGTTATACCTATTATTTCATCTTTGAACTATGAAAATAGAATTGATTAGTGAGATATGAATTCATAACATTTGATGAAAAAATAGAGAAAATGAGGTTTCAGAGGTGGCAAGTGTTTTACAAACTCTCCATTCGTTCTCCCTGCAGCTGCACTTACTACTCCATCCAAAATACGTAATTTTCGGAAGCCCTAGAATAAACTAAAAACACTTTTAGATTTCTGTCTTAATAACAAACTTTTTAAAAAATTTATGTGTATTACATGCCAGGCATTTTTTCTTCTGTGCTTTAATCAACTTCTTTTAATGACTCAACAAATCCTCTAAGATAAACATTTACTGCCCCCATTTTACAGATGAGTAAAACAAGACTCAGTTACTAAGTAGTCAAAGTCAGCCCTGGACTTGTGAACAGAAGCCTGCTAATAACTAGACAATTCTTTATTGAAATAGAAAATTTTATTTTATTTGGTAAATAATAGAGAAAGAAACTATGGGAAGACCAAAGGCCCCAGATTGATTTAAATGCATTTTGTTTCTAACATCACATTTGGTGGAAAGTAAAGGCAGAACAAACCTATTTTAAAACACTCTTCAGTCTTTTTAATAGAACTAAAACCAAGGAAAACCAATGTGTAAATGAACCATCAGGGTTACTCTTTTGCTTTTATTTGGCAGAGAAAAAACCTCCACCCATTTATATGAAAACAGACCTGACATTTTGTTTACTGAAAAATAAAAACCTTAAAAAGAACCCTCGCAACTGAGTCCAAGGGATCTGACTTCTGCTGAAATCTTTGGAACTTTATAGAAGTCTCTTGAATTTCCTTTAACCCTCAGGAGACAAAGAAGATACATGGAAACATTTTCTTGAAAAATACTGCTAGTTGCTTAAATAGCACAGTGTTTCTCTCATATGAGAAGCCCAAAATATAAAAAAAGAACAAACTGATAGATAGTAGGAGATAGGGAGAACGACTTTGTTCAAAGGGGAATGGATGCAAGAGATGGAGGGAGAGGGGAGAGGAAAGAGGGGAACGGGATAAAATATAATGAAAATGTGCTATGTACATGCACCGGCCCCACACAAGGAATATGATCATCTTGCAATATGAACAGGTACTAATAAATAATAAAAACCAAAAAGGCATTAAAGTGATTTTCCTTCTTTCTGCAAACTGTGATACCCATAAACTATTCCAGGCCTAGTTTTATCTGCTGTATTTGTTAACACATCTTGGATTAAAGCCTGAGCAGTACATTGAATGTCTCAGGGACATCATTTTCTGAGTAACCAGAATTATTTCCTTTTTCAGATGCTCACAAAGCATCATACGTATGTGTTAGTAATAGCTTCTATATTACTGTATTGCAACCTTTGCTTTAAGGACTTAATCTCTTGCTCCTTTTTTCAAAAACAATTTACAGTAGTAGGAATTGAACCCAGAGCCTTCACACTGAGCTACATACTCAGTCCCTTTCTCCCCCTTCTTGGTTTTGAGCAGGATTTCACTAAATTACTAAATTGCCCCGGCTGGGCTCAGGAGATCCTCTTGCCTTACCGCCCTCCCCCAATCCCAGTCCTGGGATTATAAGTGTGGGCCAGCACACCAGCCAGGTTTGTTTATTTATTGTTTATTTGTAATTTTTTACTTTTGCATTTTTCTCAACTGTAAAGTTGAAACAGCCCACACCATAAGTTTTCCTTAAAAACATGTCTTAAACATGATAATTTTTATACCTTGTTTTACTTTGCATGTATAGATACAATCATGTTTTTTGGACATCTGCATACAATCAGGACATTAGAAATATATACTGGTTTTTGTTTGAAATGTTTATGACAACTATTACACATTTGAAAAATGACCAATGAACAGTAGAGGTCATACAATAAAGTATTTTACCAAAGACATTCATCCACCAAAATGTATAATAGATGTTACTAAAACATTTTAAAATATTTACAAGTGGTGCCAATATTACATTTTTGTTTAATCAGAATAGAAGCTTATCCAAAAGTTATCCCACTAATGGGAAAAATCTCTCCAGGAAAATTTTATTACTTTGTTTTTCTAATTGGAATCTATAGCCACATTAGAAGAGATCAAGCTGATAGCCCCGTGTTCGAGTTGTCCAATTGCTGAACATGGTGTGCAAAGCCAAGAATTGAACACTAGGTGGCACTAGGAGGCAAACTAAGGAACTCACCAACCAGGCTTCAGAATATTTTTGATTTTGTTTTGTGTCCAGACAGGGCCACACAACGCAGTCTAGGCTGACCTTGAAATTGCAAGGTAAGGGGCTGGGGATTTAGCTCAGCGGCAAAGTGCCTGCCTGGCAAGTGCAAAGTCGTGAGTTTGGTTCCTGGTACCAGAGAAAAACCAAAAAAAAAGAAATTGCAAGGTATACCAGGCTGGCCTCAAACTTACGATCCTCCTGCCTCAGCCTGCTAGAAGCTGGGATTCCAGACATGTGTCACCATGTCCAGATAGAATTTCACATACTTGATACTTTCTTTCTTGTTTATAATTTCTGACATTTGTTTATTTGTTTTAAAAATTTGGAGGGCTGGGGATTTAGCTCAGCGGCAAAGCGCCTGCCTGGCAAGTGCAAGGTCATGAGTTTGGTTCCTGGTACCAGAGAAAAACCAAAAAAAAAAAAAAAAAAAAAAAAATTTGGAAATGAAATTCATTGAATGGCTAATTATAATAATTTGGCAATTGTCACTGGTCCTCCAAATGGGTGGTAATTTCATCAAAGCTGTACCTTAAGATTTTAAATAATATATTTTGTTTGTTTTGTTTTTTGTAGGACCTAGCCGTGTCTTTTTCTTGTTCACTATTATATCCCAAATGATTAGTCGATAGCATTCCACACACTCTTGTTAAATGAATTCACTGCATGATGACTCAGTCAAATTCAGTATTAGTGTATCTATCATGTATTACCTTCTTGTCATTGCTCTTTTCGCCTGTGTTTTGCTTGCCTTCTTCCTCTTTCTTCTTTTTTTCAGCTGCTTCCTTTTCCCTGAAAGGATGGAAAGAAACATTTAAACCAAAAATGAATAAATACCTCATTCATTATGAGATCTGTTTCCAAAACAATCGTCACTTTCCTAAATCATTGAGCAATGATCATTATGCTTTCAAGACTCAGAGTCAAAATCCCACTTTTGGAAAACACTCACAGTCTGTTTTTACACATAGCACACTTGTTGCCATGTGTCTTTCCATCTGGACCCCGAACAGGGTCACTTTCTCGGGTGCAGGTAAGTTTTCCATTTTTCATTTGGCTTCTGAACTCATCGCATACGTCCTAAAAAGAAGGAAGGCTGTATCAGAAATGTTATATATATGTTTAATTAGATTTGAAAATCTGAAGATTTTCTTCTAAGAGGTGGGCAGACTTTTCACCTTATTGTAGTAGGCAAATAATGGTCCATAGAGATGTCTACACTGTAATTTTGGTTCCATATGGAATTAAGGTTGCCAATGAGCTGTATTTGATCAGACCTTATCGGAGTGGGCCCCATGTAATCCTAAAGATTCTTACCCATGTCAGAGGGAGACTAGGAGTCAATGTCAGAATGATATGGCATCACAAAGATGTGACTGGCCACTGAAGGCTTTAAAGGTGACCACAAACCGAAGAACACAGGCAGCCTCCAGAAGTTAGAAAGACAAACAAGACATCTTCCCAGAGAACAACCACAAAGGAACACGACTTTAGCCACGCCCTGGTTTAATGAGACCATTAGAACTTTTAGCTTCCATAAATATAAGTTCTCTCCCTGTGTTATTGATCGAGACTCCTGACTTTTTCGGGGCAAGATCTCAGTTGACCATACTGGCCCCCTGTTTCCACAGTTTTGAAGAGACAAGGGTTGGTTTCTAGAAAGACCGGTCTATAAAACTTTGTTAATGACTTACCTTTCCTGATGCTGACCCAGTCTTATTAAATCTTAAGCCAGAATTCTTTTCTTTCTCCTCTGCTTCTCTTTTTCTGGAAGACACATTAACAAATATGAGGCTTAATGTCTAAAGAGATATTAACAAATACGTATTGAACATTAACAAGTACCAGGTAATATTAGCATTTGAATGAGATTTTCTCACATGACTCGTACAACCAAAAGATTATAATTTCTTCTGGTAGAAAGGTGAAGAATGTGTGTGTGTGTGATTAAGTATTTATTAAATACATTTTGAATAAATGGCATAATTAAGAGCACTCTGGTAAGTTTTAGAACTACACATACTCTTCCAAGTTGCCTAGAAGTACCTCACTTTATAGGTAGAACTAAAATATAATTATATTTCATGACCTGACAGCACAAGTCATTAGTGTGTCACACAGCACTCTAATTCAATTCCATTCACCAAGGGAAAATAAATAGAAGAAACCAGTCCCTTGTTTATGCAATAAGTGTGACTCATAAAAAAAAAAAAAAAAAAAAAAGAACAGCTCTTTTAAGCTGTACTGGCTGATTGATCTAAATGACCATTGTAAAGTCTTCCTGAGATTCAGGCAAAATGAAGAACAATAATCTATCATGATGGCTTTCAGAAATCATAGAAGTGTAACAAAAACTAGAGTAGGAATCCGTCCATTGATTAGCTGTCCTTTAGGGCTTGTGTTCCTTAAGAAATGCAAAAGAAAGCAGCAATATTTAGGAATGAACAAAAAGCATGACTTTCATGGAGGGGGCCACAGAACATGAGAAACAGCCATTACTTCAGGAGGTGGCGATATTTTAACCATGCCTATTCTGATAAACACTTACAGTAATTCTTTACACATGTCACATTTATTGTTGTAGGATTTCCCATCTGCACCACGCACAGGATCGTTCTCCCGAGTGCAGCTGAGTTTGCCGTTTTTCACAAGGTCCCGGAACTCCGCACAGGGGTCCTGATAGGGGAAGAAGGCAGTGCTCTGGAGTAACTCAGTCTGCTCAGTCTGTTGTCACTCATTTGTCAATCTGAGTAAGAAAAGTTCTTGTCTCCCTCCCCATAGAAGAATCATCTTGGAAGTTCTTTTCCACAGAGAAAGAGTAACTAGAAGCATCCATATTCTAATTCAAAGGGGTCAGCTATCATAGCTTCGAATGTTGCTTCTAAGATTCTATGTAAGAAAAATGTAAAGGTGGTAGAGACAGCACAGATTAAAGTCAGGCAAACTATACTCACAGGTAAGATCTATCCTGCTTCCTATTCGGACATGTAAGATTTTATTGAAACACTTCTTTCCTCACTTGTTTAGGTACTTTTTATGGCTCCTTAAATAATGGATTAAATTTATGGCTTAAATAATGGCAGAATTGAATGGTTGCAGCAGACACAATATGACTGCTCTGCCTGCTCACTGATTTTCTATGGAAAAAAAAAAATGTACTGATTTCTAGTGTGAATAGAAGAACTACAAAAACGCTCAGAAAGCACAAAATTATGTGACTAAATCTTCAAGAAGATAAAAAATCTAAACAGCTCTACTTCTTGACAGTGAGAGTTCAGTTTCCTAAAGCCAAAGAGGTAGAAAAAACGGAGGCCAGGCCTGTACGAATGCTAACTATCGGGCCTGTGCTGATGTGGACATGAGATAGTCTTGATACGAGGTATGATTAAAATACACAGCAGATGTTTCTAAAAAAATAATTTTATTACAGTAAAGGATACTTCACATTAATATCCCTCAAAATATTCTCCCTTGCTTCTACCACATGCGTCTCACTGTCCTTGTCACTGCCAGAAGACGCTCTGCAAGTCCCTTTTGTATGTCCTTAGTTACACCATTGCGGCTGCCTCAAGGGTCCTGAATCCACCCAAAACATGGAACTTCCATGATTATTTTGATTTTGAAGAAGAGCCACATGTTGGCCGGGACCAGATCTACTGAATAAGGTAGAGGAGGATGCATAATAACATTTTTATGTCTGCCTTTCCGATAGGCGGCCCTTGGCGGCAGCAGTGACTATATTTTTTGATGGTTCCTTAAAAAAAAAAAAAAAACCACTCAGGAAAGAGGACTTCAAGAACAGCTTCAAAAAGTGACAAGAACAACAGGACAAATAAGTTCACAGTGAGGGGTGAGGAGGATGAATGTGTCTTTTACTGTAATATTTTTTAAAAATTTAAAAATTCTCTGTATTGTAGTCCTAGGTTGTATATAGATAGATACAGTAAGTGTAATTTTACCAAATGGGGTTAAAAGGTCCAAGAAATTACCTTGCATTCATTAACACTTTACTGACACTTAAAATGTCTCAGGAAATATGTTAAACATTTGCCTAAGTTATTTATTTATTTATTTATTTATTTATTTATTATGAAAGTACTGCTGGATAAGGCAGATGAAGTAATTTATTCAATGCCTCAAAGTTCAAAAGTAGGAGATAGGTTATTATCCCAAGCTGATCCCAAAGTCTATGTTCTTCTGCCTTACTATGGTACCTTAGATCAACAGAAAAGATGCCTCAAACACTTGGATCCATTCAGGGCAAGAGAGAATAACGAGACAGAATAAAGAGTGCAGGATGCTGGTGAGAGGAATATTGACACACAGGCTGGATTACTAGGATGAGGATTAAAATAATAGGATAAAGTCACCATGTTATTAATTACTTACATGTTTAAAGGAGTCCAAAGAGCCTTAGAGAAGTTACAAGTTAGGATTTCCTATCCTACAGCCTTGAGGGTCAGTCCTCTTCTTGCAAAGGGACTCAGAATCTGTACTGGCCACCTGCCCCTTGGGTCACGTCCTCCTCCCCTGACAGTGAGTACAGCCCTCTCTAGCTATGGAAACAAGAGGTTACTCTCACCTGATCTTTCCCTCCACCAACATTTGAACCATGCCCCGCAGCATGTTTCTGATTGTCCCCTTCTTTCTTCTTTCTTTCTTCATTTTCTTTCTGGCTGGAAATTAGAAAATAGAAGATAGAGAAAAATAGCTCATAGAAAATGGAGCTATGCTACAGTTTCCTCACCATAGCCAAAGTAGTTTTGTACAGAACTGAGCAGCATTTATAGAACATTAACTGTGCTGCTGGAGCTCTTGTCTAAAAATTAAAAGAAGGAATTCTGTGGACTCCTTTGCCTAGAAAAGCTCTTTTTACAGTAAAAGAAAACCAGCCTACACTTGACTAGAAATAAGACCAACTGAGTAATTTTCATTTCTTAAATGTTCCTGGGGCATCTTCAGCTATTTAGGATAAACATCTCATATTCAAGAGGCCCCTACAATAAATTATCTTCTCAACTAAACATGATCTGCCTCCCAGATGCTCTGCTTTTCATGAAGGGCAAAACATTGGGACCTTCTGTAACTGCTCTCTCTCTTAAAGCTTTTTTAGGCATTGACATGTAACATGAACTTGACAGTCAGGGTCTCTACCTTGAACCACTAGTCCTCTACCCAACTCCCTTCTCTGATTGCCTCTGTCCAGATTGCAGCACCCCTTTCCCCCAGTACCGGCACACTCTGAACTTTAGTCCTTTCATTTCCCGCCATTTTTAAACTGAAGATGTATGATTCTTCCCAAAGGAAAGATACTTTTGCCACTTTCTCTTCTACCTTAAATATGTTAATAACTTCCCACTATTTGCACAATTGATCTCAAAATCCTTGGTTTGCCATTCAAGGTTGGTAACACTGGTAATTTGCAATTGAGCTACATGGCTCGTTCATTTCATAGGATCGTTTCCTTAAGTTAGATTCACCTGTGCATTTCCCCGCATTCCTTCCCATCATGTCTGAATCTTATCCAAATTATGTTTCATTTACTGTATATCCCCACTCAAAGCTCTGTATTAGCTGCCCCTTTATGTACGAGAGCATGTTATACATATTCTTCATTTAGCAATTTATTCCTCTTTTTTTTAGCTCATGTTCATGTCTCCTACCCAGAGGACTGAATAATTTCTGAGAACAGTGCTTTCTTTATATGATCACTAGTCACATCCTACATTGTGGATATTCAGCAAATTATTGTTGCATGATTTAAATATTTTAGGTGTACTTCCAAACTCTATGTGAAGAACTACTCTTCATTTCCTGAAATGTAATATTTTTAAAAATTTGCATAAAGATCTCCCTCCCTACAAGAAGGAAAAGAAGATGAACAAAGGAATTCAGGTGTGTTGTGTACACGTACCCAGTCTATTCAAGAAAAGTAAACATTATGTACTGTAAAGATGTACTAATAAAAATGATCTTTTAAGCTCCCCAAACATAAATGTGAGTGGAAGAGTCACATTGATAGTAAAATCTATTTTCTTCTCAAAGGAAATTCCAAGATAATTCAGTGAAGGGCTCATTGAAAAATGACTCAAAACGTTAGCAAGAAAGATGCCATGACCTACAGGTAGGCTCTACCCCACAACTAATAGAAAATATAATAACCTAATAATCTGTTTTCTACCCATAGAAGTCATAATAAAGGTTTACCTGAAAATATTTTACAGATAATCATTTCTTCATTTCAGGTGTAAGGAAAGGAAAATCACAATGTACTATTTCCCTCCTGGCTTTGTGCCTCCCGAGCCCTTCCAACCACAATAGGAGCTTTCTTTGTGCACTCACAAGACAGCCTTGCACATGGCACACTTGTTGCCATGGGTCTTGCCATCCGGGCCACGCACAGGGTCATTTTCTCGTGTACAGTAAAGAATTCCATTTTGCACAAGACTCCGATATTCACTGCAAGAGTCCTGAAAGAAGGACAGAAAGCAATAGCTTGAGTATTTTCTTGGAAAGTAGTTTGTTAGGTTCTTATTAAGCCACTCCCTGGAAAAAAACAGACTGGCCTGAGGAATTTTTCCCTCTGGCACTTCTTTCAATTCCTATTAAGCACATTGAATTAAAACAAAAAGCAGTTTGTGCTTGTCTCTTCCTGAAAGTTAGCCCTGAATCTAGATGAAATCTGCAGCCACACACATAATACTCCCTTCGTAAACTGAGTTCTTTGAGGACAAGTTACACTGCTTGGTCTGGGGTTCACTGTCCATGTCTATTCTGTCATAAAACAATACAAACCTTGCACATACCAGAGAATTAAAAAAAATTTAAGTTAGGATGAAGCCTCAAATTTTACCTTATCCAGCCATCCCTACTGTCTTTCAATCCCCTTCGTGTTATGCCTGCCACAAAGTCATCCAATTTCTACTAGAAGACCTACAACGGTAAGGGCTCCATTACCTTCCAGACAGCTCATTCCAAAATTTCCACCACACAGCTTTCATAAACTGCTCATGTGGCTACTTTTTGAGATCTTGGAAAATAACCCTAATAAATCTTATAAGAACTCTATTCTTTTTGTTTTTCTAAGTTATTAAAATAGAATGCGTGTGCCCCTTTAGACCAGTGAACAAAGATAAAGTGGTGTACGCTACTCAGAAAAATCAGGGATATTTTTCTTCTTCCACATAAGAGTTCTTCAAATATTTGGAGAAAACTATCTTTGGCTTTCTCCCCTTTCTCCTTATATTGTCTTCCAAAACTAAGTATCTCCAGGTACTGCTATTGCTCTGTTTATGACATGATTTCAGTGTTATTCCCCACTCTGCATTTTCCCCTTATCCTAATGAACTTAGTATGATGTCATGCCATAGTTTCAATCTACCATGTAACTTAAAACGCCCATGTAGTTAGAGATGGAGCTCGTGGGATCAATCCACTGATACGTTCACACCTGAATATGCTACTTTGAGGTGGGGCCTAGCCAGAAGGAGGCGAAGAGGGGTTGAAGGGAAGGGAGAAGAATGGGGAAAAAAGAAGGATCAGGACATATCATGGAGGGGTGCAAATTCCCTACGATGAAAGCGATCATTATGTATGTCTAAAATGTGCCAAAACAATTAATTAATGAAAATATTTTAAAAGTTCTATTTATACACGATGGTGTACTACTCTGCCATAAAGAAGGATACACTTGAGTCATTTGTAGGAAAATGGTTGCACCCTGAGACCATAATGTTAAGTGGAAAAACTTAGACACACAAGCTTAAATACTACGTGGTTCTTTTATATGAAAAACTCGATATATGTAGCACAAAATAAAAGCCAGAAAATAGGAAAAAAGACAAAGAGAAAAAAGTATTGTAATTTAGCATGGAAAAATGTATCTACAAGTATATCTTGGCTTTGTACAATTGTCATTCACGTTTTATACGTTCTTTGGCCTATCAGTCTGGTTTTCAATCTGTATATATGATAATTAACATTATAAAGTCTTATAAACAAATAAATCTGATGCTGGAAAGATGAAAGAGGTGAAGGAGGTAGGGAAAAGGAGGGAATTGAAATGTGTCATGTGCAGGTACTAATCTCCCACAAAGAATATAATTGTTATGTAATTTAATCATGTACTAATAAAAGCAAAAAAAAATTAATAAAACAGATAATAAATTTTAAAAGATATGGAAAAAAGTAAAGCAAGAAATATAGACCCAATTTGACAAATTGTGGCATTCCAAAACACATACTAGTATATACTAGTAACAGTGCTGGATTTTGTGGCAGGAATTATAGGTTTGAATTTTATTATTTCAATTTTCAACTGTAAGAATATTGAAATCTGAAGATATGGATACTGATGCTAATATTCCAGCAACATCTTAAGCAAGTTCTTTCTTTCTGCATTTAAATCTTCATTTTCCAGTATGGAATAGAGCCAGTAAGAGATTTGAAAACAAACCTGTGTTGTGAATAAAGTTTTATGTAAATACACTCACGCTCTTCCTTTGTATAATGTATAGACTCAGTGCTGCAGCTGCAACAGCAGAGGTGGGTAGTAGTGGTAGAGACTGTACAGTCACAAAGCTGAAATTAGGCACTATCTGACCCTTTATGAAAACGTTTGTCAACTTTGCACTCAGTGAACTCCAACCTCCCTACCAGCTGGGGCCCTCAACATTCCACTAGTGATTTTTACAGAAAACTTCACCCTTTCATTGTGATACAGGCATTCCAGGAAATCTACCTTTTCAGCTTCTCTTTTAACTTTTCCTCTGGATTTATCTTCCTTCTCTTTTGCTTCTTGAAGGCTGTGAGAGAGACGCAGGGGAGGATCATTCCTAGCTCCAATTCATATTACCCTAAAGGGAAAATCTCTCTGGATGAGAACACTCCAGTACTTCTACATCTCTATCAACTTAACCTGGGAATCTAAAGGTAAATGCATGACCTTCCACACTCTTCCTCTGGTTTTTAATGTTGCTTAGAGAATAAGACATACATGCCCTAGCAAACCAGTGAATACATTCTCATTGGTATATTTCTCTTGTAAAGTAGAGATATTGTCCATCTCAAGTAACTAGGAGGCTAATTCATTTAGCTTGTTAGTACCCAATCAGTGTAGTTTTGGATTATCTACCAGAATCACCTATATGCAGAAATCAAAAGGTATCATTCCTCTAACCCATTAAATCAAGGAGAATTTGTCTGTAGTACATGGTCCTCTCGAGTATCTTTTATAACACTAGCAAGAAATATCTGAAGCAGGTGGCTTTATAAGAGTAAATCCACAAACTCAATATAAAGACAGGCTTCATTACCTCCTGTAGAAAACCTCCAGTGCCATCCCTCTCACCCAACCGGGGTTTTCTTCTACAGTCAGCAGCAGTGGTGGCTGCAGCTCTACTCACAAGAAGGCCTCACACATGGAGCAGGTATTGCCATGGATCTTTCCATCCAGACCCTCGATAGGGTCGTTCTCTCTAGTGCAGGGGAGATGTCCATTTCTGACATATTGCCGGTATTCACGGCACAGCTCCTGCCGAGTGAAGGAGGATTTCAGAACCAGATAACTAAATGTTGGTCATCTTCCTCCACAAGACCCCTTTGAAAACTATCATATGATGTGTAAGAGATAATGAATGGGTAGGAAAGGTCAGTATTAGCTAAGATTATTTTCAGAGATGAAATCACACATTATTTAGTATTTATAACAATTATCTCATTAGAAGACCTTTAAATCAAACAATTGTGAGCTAGCTAGGGAAAAGTAAACAGGAAATTTATTGTCTCTTAAACTTTAAGGAAATGTTGGTGTACAGTCATAGCTCTCATCCGGCCCTAATACATCCAAGTTCTCATATCTGGGACCCGTGAATCTATTACTTTGCATAAAGAAGTGGGCTTTGCAAAGGTACTTAGGTTAGGGAATGAGAGTGGAAGAGACAGTTCTGTATTATCCTGATGCATCCAAAGTAATCACAAGGGCGAGTGCTTAAAACCAAAAGAACGATGAAGGATAGAAAGTAAGATGTGATCACAGAAGAATAGCCAGAAGGATGTGATGTTCTTGGCTTTGGAGATGGAGGAAGGTGTCCAAGAACTTCAGCCTCTGAAGAGTGGAGAAGCGAGGACACCAGAGAGAAAAGCAGCCCCCCTCAACCTTTTGATTCTAGCACAGTAAGGTCTTTCACAGTCTCTAACCTTAAAAATCACAGAGAAACAATTATAAATTACAGTTAAACAAATATCACTCAAAACTAAAGAAAAATCATGGCATAAAAACTGATAGAGTTATTAAATATATTATATAAAAGGGGAAAATCACTCTGGACCATGAAAATTGGCTGAAATTTTGATAGAAGGAAGAGACATTTCTCACTAAGGGACAAGTCTAATACGAAATAAAGTTTGTTGTGTGCTCAAGAACTGGATAATTGTTGAATATGACACATTCTGTTGGGCAAAGATTGATAAATAATAACCTGAGCAGTAATAAGTGTAGTATTATACATTATGTGCTTAAGATATGGGAAACACTGTGCTGTTATACATATATACACTTTTAGGACTTTATAAAAGTGTAATAACAATATCCTCATTTTATAAATGAGGAAATTGACACAAAGGTGTTATCTATGACCTTACTAGTAAGAAGCTGGAGCATGGATTTCAACCCAGACAGTATGAGCCCAGATTCAGAGTTTTTAACCACAGTATTACTGAGTTCACAAGTCAGAACAATGGGTTGATTCTTGGCATTCCAGCCAAGCAACAAATGGCCAGTATACCTGACCAGAAGAACAATATATAGAACAAGAAAAGAGGTCTGAGAGATGAGAGGAATCGGATCAAGTATGGCATAGCAAGCCCCTACTAAGATCTCGGTTTTACTTTGAGTGAGATGAGAAATCACAGTGATGTGATCTATTATATTTTTAAATAGTCTTTTGTTTATGACTTAAAACACATATTAGGGAGCAAATGCAGGTGTGCACACAGCAACAGAAATAGATCATTCAAATTAGAAAGAAAATGAAAGTGGCAATGGAGAAGTGAGACACAGCCTGCTGGAATATTGTCATGACAGAAACCTGAACAAATTCAATGAGGAAGGAGCACTCTTCTGCACAAGGATGATCCAAGTATATTTTCTCAGTTTTCAAGGTCATAAATGCTGGGATTAGGAGGCGGTATGGGAGAATTGCCTAAGAATGACCATCAATATGTACACAGCTGTGGTGATGTAAGACCACTACCTCTACTGCTTCTCTTTTAACTTTGTCAGCTTCAGCTTTCTCGTTCTCTTTATTATTTTTCTTCTCCTCTTCTTCAAGTTGGCTGGAACAGAAGAAGATAAAAGTTGGGTAAAATTCTCCAATGCCTTCGGTACTATTTTTCAAGAAGAAAGATAACCTTTCATACTAAAAGCCCAAGGTCTTTAGGACAAAGTTTCCCAGGCAGGGCTATTAAAATGCTTTGGCAAATATGCAGAAAACTCAGCAGTCTATATTCTCCCTCTAAAAACTAACAATAATAAAGCAAGCCTTCATTTTTTATCAGTGTGGGGCCCTCAGGACTTCTTATTTTGTATAGATCAGTGATTTCAATCAATGAGCTATAAGAATCCACAATTGTCTTGAATATTTTTTAGTTGTGAAACTTTTCTATCCTGATAGCTACTATATCAATGATGAAAACAAACCATGCTTCACTATAAAAAAGTGTAAATGTAATTTTTAGTGGCCCTAAGGCCCAAATTGGAATTCAAGTTTTGAATTACAATAGTGTTTCAAGTCTAGTAAGAATCAACATCTAATTTTTTTTAGGACAACCATCAGCCCAATGTCCTGGTTTTTTGCTTTTTTCTGAGGATGGATAGCATATCAACTGTGAAAAATTCTTAACATTTACCATATTTAGTTATTACTACAGTGCCAGAAAATTAAATAAATAAGACAAAACTCTAATATCTTGAATGTCAGGTCATTATTTATTCTATTGTGATTCTCTGCCAGTCTCTCCTTTTAAGGAGCCATGTGCATGTACTTAGTGTTGGGCCAAAGCCTGTGAAATTTGAGATAATTAATAACTTTGTGTTTTAATTGCTTTTATTTTTTCTCTTCTTTCCTATTAGTATATATTTGTAATACATAATAACTACAGTCATCTTGTGGAATTGGTGCATATTCACACTGTGTGTTCATCATTTTCACTTCTCCTTCCCCTCCCCACCTTTCCATCTCCCACATCCGTATGTCCCCTGCACATCTCCACAAAGTCTGCAGTTACAATGCAAATACTGTTTTCAGAGTTTAAAGTGAATCTCAGCAGGGGATTAGGAAGCTAAAAAGTGAGAGAACTAGACATGGTAATACTTGATTTCTGTGCAGTGGAGCCCTTACCCCTGGTGGACCCACACCATTCTGCAAAAGCACGACCTAGAAAGCCCTCACCTGCCTTACCAGGAAGATATTTTAGTAAACATATAGTATAAGAGAGTGCTTCTTAGTGTTTCACTCTATACCAAGCCACTGATCAAAGTATGCATTTCACCTGTACAGAATAATGTCCTGAAGACACAAACACAGTCCTTTGTATTCTGCTTCTTGTTTGGGTTATTTTATTAATCAAACTATGTTTCTTTTAACCCATACATAAATATCTTCACAGAACTGTAAAATATCAGAGGTGGAAGAGAGAGCATGAAATCCAGATCATGGAGTTTCTACTCTGTTTGCTATAAAAGAAGACAATCAAGTGTTAAAGAAATCTAGCACCAAGTTGAATCTTTCCCTGTGACATAATTGGAAGACGGATGAGTGAATGGAGAATAGCAATGCCATTCCATGATCTAATATTACTTAACGTCTTGCTCACCTGTATTTAAGGCTTCCTAGCATAAACCCTAAAGTGTACACTCTGCACATGGATGAAGGATCTGAGATGCCAAGAGAATTCACAATAAGGAAGCACACTCTGGACAAGGGAGGCAGATACTCACAACACACGTGCACACATGGCACACTTGTTCACATGCATTTTCCCATCCGGGCCAAGAACAGGATCATTATCTCTGGTGCATGGGAGCGTTCCATTTCTCACGAAGTTGCGAAACTCATTGCAGTTTTCCTGGAAAATAATTTTTTTTTTCAGAGAAGTTTTCTAATTTTCTTGCATCTTTTCCTTTTGGGTAATATGTAGTACATAATAAGTAATACAGAAAAGTAAAAAAGAAAAAAGATAATAAATGAATCAAATCAGCAAGAGCAAAGCTCACATTATGAATTCAAAATTGTCCTGGTATTATAGCAGATTAGCAAGGACTTATCATTGTCATTCTTCCAAGATACTGAAGTAAGCTGACAAACTTGATAAAAGACCAGTAGAAAACCTGTGTTTCTGTTGTGTTGGATATTGCAGGCTACAAAAGCTATCATGAAGTAAAATTGGTATTCTCAAAACATCTAATAAGACCCCTTTCCTCTTCTATCTCTTCCTCCCTGTGTCTCTCTCCCTCCCTCCCTCTTCCTCCTTCACTCCCTCTCTCTCTCCCTCTCTGTCTCTGTCTCTGTCTCTTTAAGATTGAGCCATGATATGTTGCCCAACCTAGTCTTGAACTTCTAAGGTCATGTGATCCTCCTACCTCAGCCTCCCCAGTAGTTGGGATTACAGGCATGCACTAAGGTTAAAAGTTTGTTTTGTTGTCATTGTTCATTGTAGGCATGAAACTTAAAGAAGAAACATTTATACTAATAAGACAAAAGTGATGGGACTCATCATCATCATTTCTGAGAAAATTACCTTTGCAGCGTCTCTTTTAGCCTTTGCTCTTGCTTTGTCTTCTTCTTTGCTATAAGGAAAGAAAGGAAAAAAGAGAGAAAATAACAAATGGATCCTTTAGTGGTCCCTTATATTCATCAATTGACCATTCACTGCTTTTGCCATTCTCAAGCAACCCCAAAGGTCCACCATAGCAGTGTGTCATTTTGTTAGATAATAAACTAGAGTGTTCAGTTCACCTCAGTAAAGTGGTGTGCCAGTAAAAGTCCCTTAATTCATGAGTAAGCCTGTTGCACTTCCTAGTATAGGTATTGCAATAATATTTTCTGATTCTCTGATTCTTTTGCCTTAGCTATCACCTTTTATAGAGCAGTAACATTTGGTTTCTGGGGGGCATATAGCACGGTGGTGAAGAGATCACACTCTGGATCCAGATTATGTAAAGGAAATAAAAAGGGCCCTAATCTCTGTGTCTCCCTCTTCATTGAAAGTGTGTGTGCATGTAGGGGGTGACAGGAGAGGAAACAAGAATAATGTTCTCATAAGAATGTTAGAAGAATTCAGTGAACTGATACATCTAAAACAGCTAGAACAGTACCTGGTACATGACAAAGTGAATAGTGTATGTGACATAAGAGACTTCCAGAGCTAGGCCTACCCTGGAAATGAGGGGACAGCAATGGCTCTTATGTTTTTGGATAAGTAACAGAGTTGAAAGTTGAGTTCATCTGCCTCGGTCTGTAGCATAACTGGATGCATGACACAAATCATTCAGACCTCAAATTACATACTGTTTTGGAAGTGTTTTAATGTGTTCTAATAAATACAAGATTTTATATTATGAATGAAATTGGAATGTTTAAAAAGTTGATAGAATTTTCATATGCAAAGTGCAAAAAATAACTACAGAGGATAAACTTTTTTGAGAAACTCAATAGTCTTTCAATATCCATAATATATGAGGTAATAAAACTTTACTTTTTGGTAAGGAATTTTTATACTTATGAATCAAATATATGAATATAAATTTAATCTGTGTGTTTTCATACTTTTTTATATGAAAACAAACCTAAATTTTACCACCTAAGTTGTAGCCTAAACTGACTAGAATGAAAATGGATCTAAACTTTACTATCTAAGCTGCAGCCTAAATTGACCAGAATGGTTAAGAAATATTTTATTGCCATAGTGGGAAATTGTCTGAGGCCACAGAGCTGACCACTAGGGGGAAGAATTACTTTTTTGCCATGAGAAAAGGTATCAGCCTTCATGAGAGATCATAACGTGATTACATTCTACAGTGAGAAATATATAATCATTCTTTTCTCCAGGTGGCATGTATCCTGTGCTGACGGTGGTATCATCCTTGGCTTTTAGAGCCACTGTGTTCTCATGTGTAACTTGTCACAGTTCCAAACCTACTTCATATGATTGTGAAGATGAAACAATATTAAGTATCCAATCTCTTAGCAACTACTAGTCAACTACATGCATTTAATAAATGTCAGTTATGACAATTACATGGTCATTGTTTTAATTTTCTATATAATAGATCATGTTAGGGTTCCATGGCTCAAACTATGTGGGAGAAGTTTCCTAGATTATATTGCTATCAGTGAAGAGTGAATAACTAAATCTGTTCAGAGATTTTGAGCACATAAAGAATACATTGAGAAAAAAATAAAAGTAAAAAAAGAATACACTGAGATACCCATTTGATCAAACACTAAGAAGTTCAAGAAAATCATAGGAGTCTTTTAGGGGCCATATCATTTCATCTATACTAAAGTCATACTTCAGGTCCTGAAGGCAAAATAGATGATTAGATAGATAGATAGATAGATAGATAGATAGATGACAGATATGTATATAGAAGAATAGCTGGGAGAACTGCACTGCTGATGTCTGACGGTATATTGAAAGGAACAGTTACTGCTTAAATATTTTTTATATTCTGACCAAAATTTTGCATGCTTGTATCTGGTAATCTGAGCAGCTGATTTGAAGACAACAATATACAATGGTACAACCACTGGTGAATTCCTACCATCTTGTCTAGTGAAACTCTGTATTATCACTAATGTTTTATCTAGTAATTATTTTTATTCTCTTTAATGGTTTGAATAATCTTCCATTCTTACATCTGGTAATCTGAGCAATGTAGTTGAAGATAGCAATATGTAATATAAAAACCACTGTTAATACCTATCATTTGGTTTTTTTTTTGTTTGTTTGTTTTTGGTTTTTTTTCTTGGTTTTTCTCCGGTACTGGGAACCGAACTCATGACCTTGCGCTTGCCAGGCAGGCACTTTGCCGCTGAGCTAAATCCCCAGCCCTATCATTTGATTTTGAAACCCTGTATCACTTTTAGTGTGGTTGCTTTGTTTTGTTTATGTTTGTGATGTTGGTATGTTGCTGTTGTTTTCTTTTACTACTCTCTTTAAAACAAAAAAAAAAATGGATATTCATCAGAATCACCATTCTTCTCATCTATCAGAGTTATTCTTCACACCGAGCCAAATCTGTCTCCTTATGCCTGTTAGTCATTTCAATTCTATTCCTTGAGGTCAAAAAGAATTGGAAGAAAAACAGTCAACTAAAAAAAATCATAAAATTTTCCATATAATACAATGACATTTTATACAGTGAGCTCAACAGTTTTCTTATTTTAGCTACAATTTTTATATAACATTAAAAACCAACTAGTGTGACTGTCATAAAATAATCTTTTCCTGGGGTGAAGGATTCTGGGTTACTTCTGAAATTCCGAAGAAGAATTTATTGTGCACATCCCTTTTAAAAGGAAATCTTTTCATTAATAAATGTATATCTTTATAGAGTATGATGTGATGCATTAATATATGTGGAATTATTAAATCAGACAAATTCACATATTCACCTCTCTCAAGATATCATTTTTTTTTTATGATGAGGATGTTTCAAGTCTATTATTTTAGCAACTTCAAAATATCTATTATTAACCATATTTTCAATACTGCAAAATTGATCTCAAAAACGTATCTCCCTTAAGTGAAACTATGTCCTTCTATCAAAATCTGCCCATTGCAGTGCCCGCCGCTACCCCTGCCCCCGCCTCTGTTGCCACCATCACACTATCACAACTAGCCCCTGAGGTACATTGTTTGCAGCACCGTATATAAATGAGATCATGCACTATTTTTGTGGGTTTGTCTTGCTCATTCTGCTTCTCTTTATATCACCACTGTTACTCTGAAAGATCTCTGTTTGCTTTTGTTGATTGCTTTTTGGTCCATTGAAGAGGAAAGTGCACTACCCCCATTATTTAAAAGGAAAAAACCCAAACAACTTCCCAGAATAGATCCCACACTCCCCGCCCTCGGAGGCCTGGGGTCCCCACTGTACTCACAAGAAAGCATCACACATGGAGCAGGTGTTGCCATGGATCTTTCCATCTGGGCCCTGGATGGGGTCATTCTCTCTGGTGCAGAACAGTTGTCCATTCCTCCTGGATTTGCGGTATTCACCACACAACTCCTAATTAATCAAAGAGGGAAGTTGCAGGTGTGGAACACAAGTTGAATTGGACTGAAAAAATGGCTGAAATGTAGATTTTGTTTCCTTAAAGGGGAGAGAAGCAGTCAGTCTATTTTAGAATAGTTCCTAACTGTGAAGGCATTGATATTTTTAAGGATACAAGTGAACGCACACAGAAACACAAACTGTCCAAATGCTTCACAGAGTTTGGGGAAATGCACATGTTTCCTGCATATCGTCGGTGGATCCCCAGGCCCATTTTCCTCTAACTGGAGAAGATTCTCTCACCTCAAAAGAAACTGTTTTCTCAGACTGTCTTTTAGGTCTCGATTGTCCTTCCCTCTTTTTCTTTTTTTCAAGTTCTGCTTCACTGAAAGAGAGTGGTTGAAAAAGGTTGTAGAAAGAATCATAGAATTTCCAGATTGGAAATGATCACAAGTATGATTTTTTTACTACAGTTAACATTTATTAAATTATAGTTTACCCCACCCTGTGTTCCTCATATGAAATCCTCATGACTACATGGCAAAGAAACTATTATAACACAAATTTACCAATAAGAAATCTAGCTGATAGAATGAACGATTTGTCCAACAGAACAGAACTAGTGCATGTAGACTAAGAATTTAAACCCTAGTCCAGAAGTGGTTTTCAAATCTTCCAGTGCTTTTTGGCATCCTTGATGACTGTGTGCCCTTTACTTTAACCTGCCACTAATTTCTGTACTGGTATCATTCTTCACTTTAAAGAAGGAATCATTCTCTCTTTGAAATCATCACACTCTAAGAAGGTACTGACACTGAGCTGAAAACTGTCTTCTAGAGTTTTAACCACTGGCATTACACTACCCTTTTCATCCATGGAAACAACCTAGAAATTGTCCTACTTCCACACTCACAAAAACTACCTGGATATTTCAAGATCCTGACACTCCCCTTGCCCTAGTATACCTACATCTTTAGCTGAAAAGATATGGCATTTGCACCTTTTCCATTTCTTCATTCCCTGTGAAGTGGCCATCTCATAATTTATCACAGAAATGAGACACAAAGAACAAAACCTTCCCTCATGTCAACAGCCACAGCTCTACTCACAAGTATGCTTGACACATCATGCAGTAGCTGGAATATTCAATTCCATCTGGGCCCTTGAAGGGTTCACCCGCTCTGAAGCAAGCAAGTAATCCATTCTTCAGTAGTCTTCGGTATCCATGGCAATAGTGCTACCAAGACACAGAAAGGAAATTGGATATTGATTCTATTCTTAATCAGAACAGAATAGTCAAACATCTACAATGATACATTGTCTGTTTGAGCCCAGGATTTTAACTGGGCTCTCTTAAAATTAAAATTCAATTTAACAGCAAGAACAACATCATTGGCAAAGAAATGGGGACAACAAGACATAATAGGATTTTATAATATAACAGAACAAGTATATAAATAAACCTTTCTATAATCAAAACAGAATAAAATAGGTGCAAATATATAAATACAGAAAATCTGACAACTCAAAAGACAGGACCACAATATCTGATTATGGAAACCAGAAATGATGTTCAGAATAATTTAATCTATCAACAGTAAATAGGACTTTTGGGGTGAAAAATGGACTTGGGAACATGTGCATTAGATTGTGAAAATAAGCTGAGAGAAACATTCCAAAACATGTAGCAGAACATAACATAAATTTCTAAGTGAAGTTAGGGGGGTAAATTAGAATACATATAGAGAGATTGTAATGTGTCTTATAGCTGATGAGTGATCTGTGAGTTTTCAGTAGACCTGTATCAGGATCTGATTTACACTTTGAAATCTCGCTCAGACTGTGTCAGAAGTGATGTTTGTCTAGTTCTAGAGGAAGGATAGAATCCAGGAAGAAAATGAGGGTAATTTCATCATCAAACAACAAGTAATGAAAACTCATCTCAGGTTTAGAAACAAATATTGTCGTATCTCAGAGGAACACATTTTTTGTGGAATCCAAGTATTTTTAGCTCAAATCAAATATGAAATTTTAGGAATTAATTTGTACACAATATGCACCCAGAGTTTATCTCAAAAGTAGGTAGCTAAAGGGAACAGATGTGTAAGTCATGAAGCTAGAAGTAGAACTCAGTTTTTCAGATCTAATAAGTTCTTTTCATTGTATAGGGCCAGTTGCTGATCCAGCAGGAACAGATCTCTATCCTGTAGCATTCATCTCATTGCTGTCTAAGATCTAAGGGTTCGGAGGTCCTGTTAAGCTCTCTGAGTTATGTTCAGTTACTGTGCCAAGCAGGATTTGTGAGACTCACTCACTTCAAATGATAATTTTCTTGCAGGTGTTCTTTTGCTTCTTACAAGGGCTTCAACCTTTTTCTTTTTGTCAAATTTTTCTTGACTGTTTGAAAAATAAAAGGAATAGGCTCGATCAGAAACAGACCCTGATTTTCCACATGCCTGTACTGGTAATCGAGCTACCCTCCCGAGGCAGGAGCATCTTTACCTCTATGTTACTACATATCAAGAAAAAGCAATGAGACAGCTTTGATGTCAATAATAGGTTTGGAAAATGTGCTTTCTGTAAAGGACATTTCTTGCCTCAAGAGAAAAGTCATCAGTCTTACAAACAAGATGTCAAAACTAGAGTCAGAGTGATACAAAACCTGAAGGCTAAAACCAGCCTTAACAAAGTTAGTTGACTCATTCTGGTGTTTCTCAGAGTGCGTGAGAGGTAGAAAGGCATGGCTCAGCTCTCAGGATACTAATGCTTGTAACAAAGATCTTCTTCTTTCATTCTATCTGTGATCTGTTTGCCATATCAGGTATACCTTAGATTTCACTTAAACATAAATGTATTGCTTATTCATGTCTGCTTTACCCAAAAAAGAAAAGACGAATCAGATAGGTAAAAGCCCAATAGTTTCCACACACTGATAAACCGAGGTATGTCTAAATTTGTTTTGTACAATGGAATTGCATGGTAAGTATAGCTAACTGTGGTATTTCAACCATACATGGCTATCAATTGAAATAAAAAGCTAAATATAGTTTAATAATTTGAGCTCTACCAAATAAAGAGAGAACTATTCTAAAGGGTGAAAGAAAATGTGACTCTAGCTTACCAAGAAACATCACAAAATATAACATACCATAATTTCACAGAAGTTTATAGTTATTTTGCTAGTAATTTGACACATTTCAATGAGTCAGCTGCGAATTTTGGTCCCTAGTCCTTCTAGTGGAAGATGGGAAGCCTATAAACCACTAAAGCAGATTTGTACAAAGCTTCACCAGTGCAGAAGCAACTAATATTTCCAAAGTTCGTGTTTGTCAGGAGGTTCTAGTCTTAAGACATGGAGTTTCAGAAACAAGGAATTTCGAAACAAATAACCTTAAACACTTCCAGCACTAACATTCTCCACATAACTCCTTCAACTCCTTTTGCTATTTTGAGCCAGCTTCCTCATCTATGAAATAGGTTGGTTCTATTAGGACACATGTGGAGCCTCTTCCTTCTTTGATATCCTGGAGCTTTGTACTCACAAGAAGGCGTGACACATGGAACACACGTTGCCATGTATTTTCCCATCTGGACCACGAGTAGGGTTATTTTCTTTGGTACAGAAAAGTATTCCTTTCTTTGCACGCTCTTCATATTCACTGCAGACTTTCTGGGTAATAAAAATTAGACAGTTTAGACACTGATCTCCATTGTTAATATGTAAATTTGGAATGTTGTTTACCAAGGAAATTGAAAAAGAGGAATTAAGGATAAAAGATAAAACTTTCAGGATTTAGAACCATCTAAAACTTTGCAATACTTCTCTTTTTGTAATTTTGGTCTATTATTATTCAGCGAATATATTACATAGATAGAAACATGAATGTGATTTAGGTCTTTATTAGACAAATGGAAAGAATAAGTAATTGCAATAGATAAAACTAAGGAGTGTAAATCAGGTCTGAATTAAGTGTGTACTAGTACAAAGGAATGCTGATTTATGGAATTTCCAAGAAAAACTTATAATTAAGTTCTATTTTCAAGATGTATTCAAGATCACAATGTGGCAAAAAAGATCTACAGAGGAATTATGCTATGTGGAGTCATACAAGTATTAAGTAGCATATTTTTTAAGACAATCTAATATTTTCATGAGCATAGCTGCAAAAAAATTAGTTGGGTAAAGAGAAAAATGTTTAGGAAGTGGTCAAAGAAGAGACCTTCAAAACTGATCAAAACCAAACCACTAACCCTTGAAAGGAATTTGCATTTTATTTATAGTCAGTGGGAACAATATAAATATTTATAACAAAGAATGACAGAATCAAATCATTGGTGTCAAAACACTTTTCGTGAGATTTGTGGAAGATTTGAGTGAATAAAGGTGTAATTAGATTGTAACAAGAAGAAGGAAGAAAAGAAGGAAGGGAGGAAAGGAGGAAGGAAGGAAGGAAAGAAGGAAGGAAGGAAGGAAGAAAGGGACAAAGGAAGTAAGGTAGGAAGGAAGGGAGGGAGACAGGAAGGGAAAGTTAGAGGGAACAAGACAGGGAGGGTAGGAGGAAGGGAGAGAGAGGACGGTGGGCATAGGGAAGAACTGGAAATGAAAGATAAAAGAATAGTTGAAGAACACTTGAGTACTAAAATTAAAAGGACTTGGTAACCTAAGACTAAGAGAAAGAAAGACGTTGAAAATGAGGCCTAGCAATAACATAGAGTTACACAGAGGAAGAAGGAAGCCTAACAGAGTGGGCCACTTTGTAAAACTCCCTCTACAGGTCATACAATGTTAGGTTACTATAAGAAGCAAGCCTTATGACACCTATACATGTGCTGAAGCAGTTCAGGCATACTTTAAGAGACCCTGGAGCACTGGAATTTCCTAATACCATTGATGCAAGCAAACATCTCCCATTCTATGAAACCACATGGGGATTAATGGATCTTGCAGACTGAGGACCACGTAAACTAAAAATATGCAGACAAGAAAGAGTGCAAAGGAGAACCCCAGGAGGAGGTGTCTGAGCTCCCGGAGGTAATAGGAAAATAGTCAGACTATGAATTCAAGGAAGTTTAGAAAGTACCATGCAGTATGCTTTTAAAAGAAACAGATTGAAATTTTACACTAACACTGCTTTTGAAATGAACAGCACCACTGCTCACATGATGGAAGTGCACTTTGAATCAGGATAATGTTTTGCTATATCATCTGCATTTAGAAATGTGTACTTATTTTACTAATCTGATTTGTTTTCCTCCACATAAAGCTAAAACTTATAATGCCATAGCATAAAATAATAACTGATGACAGCTATAAGTTAGTTTTCAGAAAATCTTTTAATACTGGGAAAAATCTTAACCAGTCTCAAAAATCCACACGAGAATTGTATGCCCATCACACACACCTCACATGCAAAAGTCACAACCGGATTCATCACACTAATGCTCACCTCAATTTCAGTTTCTCTTTTTACTATTTTTTCTTTAGGTTTTCTCAAATGTTGATTAGCTTTACTTTTTTCTTCTAAGAAATGTCGCATGCTAGAGAAAGCAACACAAAAAGTGAATAGAAATGCTTCAAATCTTCATGTTGCAAATGAAATAGTCATTAGGTACATGGAAAGGCAGTCACATTTTCCTGAGTTCTAACACAAACACTTTCAAACTGACTTAGTTTCTTTCCACTGTGTTGATATTCTTTTTCATCTTTCCTTCTTTTGAATCTTTCCAGTTTAAATGTTTTTCTTTTTGAAAGAGGACATACATGAAATGAAATCTATCTCTGTCACTGTTTTTTATCTGACTACTTTATATCTGATTTTAAGATTTTTTTATGTGAAAGATACTTTTTTAGATGCAATCCACAAGAGAAAGGGATATCAGCTGTCCAAGACAGAGAGGCACTGGAAGTGGAATAGCACGTAGGACAGAGGTTATGGAACTCAAGTAATCTGAAAGAAGGTGGAATGAAGCCAATCTGGGACATTTACATGCCACACTTTGTATGTTGTGGGATTTACCCTTTACTCAAGGTGACATGTTCCAGCTGAAAAGATGTGTTATGTCATTAATGTGTAACATGAATTTTCTGAGAATCTTCCATGAAATCTGTGAAGTGAGATAATCAAGAAAAACAAAGTCTTCTTATCTGCTTTTACCTTCATTCTGTGCAATGATTAGTGTATAAAGTGGTTCACAATAGTCATAGGGAGAAATGTGAGGAAATATTGTAAGCCATCCTCCTAAATGGAAAATGAAATCCTCTGAACTCAGAAATAGATATATATCATTAATGTCTATCTTCTGGGTAGTACTATGCATTGTAGAGAACATAAAACTGCTCAAATGAGTCTCAGTGACAAAAATTCCATTGAGTATTATTCTCCTCATCATTTGAATCAGCTTCCTCTCCCCTTCTCAGTAACCCTAAAGAAATCACATGTACACTCACAATAAGGGCTGGGGATTTAGCTCAGTGGCATAGTGCCTACCTGCCAAGCGCGAGGTCGTGAGTTCGATTCCTGGTACCAGAAGAAAAACAAAAAAAAAGAAAACCACAAAAAAAATTATACACTCACAATATTTCAGCACACAGGGAGCATTTGTTGCCATGCATCTTGCCATCAGGGCCTTGGATTGGATCACTCTCTCGTGTACAAAATAGTCTTCCATTCCTCACTTGTCTCTCATATTCCTTGCACAAAGCCTTTAAAAAAGACAAGTCGTTGTATTTATTATTGTTTTGCTCTTTAATTAAGAAACTTTATCAAGTAGATTCATAATCACAAGGGGCTGGGTATTTAGCTTAGCGGCACAGTGCCTGCCTCGCAAGTGCAAGGTCGTGAGTTCAATTCCTGGTACCGGGAAAAAAACAAACAAACAAATAAAAAATAGATTCATAATCACAGACTGACAGATCTGAAAGCACTGATAAACACAAAAAGGCACATAATGAAAGAATAATTATTTTATCAAATTATTAGGCACTTGTACCTGTTACAAGTGCCTAATTTTTTTTAAAGGTAAAAGAATCTTGGAAAGAAATAGGTTAAGCAGTAGCTCTTAAAACTGGGTAGCATTTATTAATTTCCCAATCAGCAGAGGAAATACAAAGCTTTTGTGAGGTTCTAACACAGACCCAACAAGAGGCAGCAGCCACGGTGAACAATAGTAATAGCATAACAAATAGATGGTTGACAGGAGATAGAATTATGAAATACAATTAGACCCTTAGATGTTATTTAAAGTGGAGAAATAAAGAGCAGTCTAACTTCGTTTACGCGGAAAAAGAGCACAATGGTATCTGACAATGCTGTGCATACCCCAATCCTCTACCTATGTTCATTTCGTTTGTTTGTTTTTGGTTTTTCTCCGGTACCGGGAACCGAACTCACGACCTTGCGCTGGCCAGCCAGGCGCTTTTGCCGCTGAGCTAAATCCCCAGCCCCTACCTATGTTCATTTCTGAAATCAGAGGTGAAAATTTCCAAGAGCATGAAATTAACTCCTTCACTCAGGCCTCACAGAGGCAAACCACCCAGACTGATATACTTTGAAACTTAAAATGGTTATGACTTAAAAAAAATAAAGTTTGGTTCCCAGGTTTTCGGATGTTTTGGTAAGGGATCTTAGATTTCTCTCTGTGTTTCGAAAATTCTAGTATTTGGTGAAGGCCAAACGGAACAAAAGACATATCCCAAGTTATTGTAGTCCTAAGAACCTCTGTGTCCATAAACTTATCATAATAGCATATTTTATTATAATATGAATTCTAAAATTTTTGTTGTATTACCTTCTTTTCAACTTGTGGCCCTGATCTTTGCATTTTCACAAGCAAGCAGAGTATTAGAGGATGGCAGCAGGTCACTTGTGAAACATGAGCAGCTAAGACTGTGGCCTATAAATCACTGAGAGACTGTCACGAAGTCTCATTGTCTTTGGCACCTAGGCCTTAACACTCACATGGTGAGGGTTTTGGAACAGATACTTTTTAGGGCCTTTTGAAGATCAAATATTTTCTGCTGTTTCTTTCTTTTTTTTTTTTTTTCCCTTTGGTTTTTTTCTAGTACCTGGAATTGAACTCATGACCTTGCTCTTGCCAGGCAGGCGCTGTGCTGCTGAGCTAAATCCTCAGCCCCCTGCTGTTTCTTAATAGTTCAATTATCATTAGGATGCCTTCAACAGAAACCCTAATTGAGTCCAAATCAGGGTATAGTCATTTTTGGAGAAGGGATGGGAGTGCTCCAAACTTCCTGGTTGTAAAATCCTAGGAAGGCAGAGGTAGAAGACAGCCATCGGATCATGTTAGAATGAAAACACCATGAATGCTCAATGATTCCCATAGGAAGAACAATGATAATGTCAGTTTATAAGTTGTGATTCATCCTTGGAGATTCTGCAGAAACACTTTTGTGAGCAACCCACTGACAGGCTAATTATGGAGTGCGTATTGAGCCATCACCATAAAGTAGTCCTGTTCAGCACAACTAGGCCTAATGATCCCAGCATAGAGGCGAGGATGGTCAGGCCTGACGGAAAGCAGAGAGAATAACGCTCTGTGTTTATGGAGGAACAGGTTCTAAATACCACAGCAAGACCTAGAGTTTTAGACTCAGATTTACCAAGCACCATGAAAGAATTGCTTTAAATCCTTCCTAAGTGCTGAGGAAACCACAGACAGTTCTGAATACTTCAGTTTTCTAAATTTAAACTGAGAACACCCAGTTTAGGATGGGGAACTTTGCTTTTCAAATAGCATTATGAAGCAGAGAGCCAGCTCTTTAGTACAGAAAGCTGGGCCTGTTTATTCCTATAGGATATCAGAAGCCCTGTGATCCATAAGCATAGTATATTTCTATAGTACAAAGGACTACAGAGCATAGAATAATAATCCAACAGGAAGGGAAAATCGAGGTCACTTATCCAACCTCATTATTTTGCTGACAAGAAAATTGAGGCCCAAAGATGAGATGATTTCCTCATCTAACACACCCAGAGCATGACAGAATGCGGGCTAGATTGCAGGTGCTCTGACTTTCGACAAAAGGTCAGCCAGTCAGCAAAGTAATGCTAACCCTCTCATGAAAAGTAGGGTTAAGGGTCCAGGCAGAATTACCTAGAGTGGTTATTCAGTTAACAAAAGGAGTAACTTTTTATACCAGACATCAAAAAACTAAATTATCAAATTCCTTAGAGAAAAGCTGTATCTGAAGAGTAACTTTAAGCCTCTCTTTCAATATTTGAGATTTTCATTTAAGCAGAAGCAGGATCTTTATAACTGCAGGTTTCACTGAATGTAATAACTACACTGGAAAAGTGAATAACTTCAACTTGTGTCAATGAAATTTAAAACATGGGAATTATTTTAAAGTTACTTTTATTTAATTTATATTATGTTCACTAAAAATTTATTTAAAAAAATGATTTACATTATGCTAGCTAGAAAGCTGGAGAAAGTTAGCAGAATTTATTATGTGCAAACTTGCTGTTTTAAATCCTCTTTTAGCGGGGAGCTGAAGAGCAAAGGTAGAAATTGTACATTTTGAGTCAAGTGGGAAATGTAGGTCAGAACATAAATGATAACATCCAGGAGGAATAGTCAGTTTGAGGAATTTTAGTATTTAAACGTGCACATGTGGTAATAAAGGGCATGAAATTATTGCACTCCAAGGTTCAAGTATAGTTGTGTTAATATTTATGAGCAGAAGAACTAAATTTTGTTGGTGAGTCATTTACCTTTTCAACATTTCGTCGAATTCTCCTTTCACCTTCTCGTTTGGCATTTTCTTCAGCTTCTTTTAAGCTAGTAAGAAAAGTGAACAGTTGGTCAGATGACGGGCCAGTCACATTTGCACTGTCCGGGGCTGTGCTAAGCACTTTGATACCCTCTGCCTGTTGAAACCAATTCACTTAGAAGAGAAGCACTTCCCAGTCTTGACTGCCAGAGCCAGAGAAATTGCCAAAGATAAGGAAGGGTGTGAAACTGACTCACTGACAGTCAATGAGAAGCTTTGTTCTGCAGAACTGGATGGGTGTGCCGCTTGACTGACAAACAGAAAATTGTCAGGAAATCCACTGGAAGAGGCAGAACCAAGAGCCTTAAAACAATGCTGTGACAAGGGTGAAACCAAACTGGACATCTGAGGTATTGCTATCCGCACCCTTATGTTTAACTTTTTAAAGCTGTTCACCCTTTCAGTGAAGGCATCATTATTAATAAAAGCTTAATTGGAACTGAGCTTCGAAACACTTTCACAACTGCTAGCTGGTGATCTGTAGTCTCATCTCAGCAGTAGGCATTGCCGAGTAAGAAACAGAGTTTAGAAAGGTCAAATTCTCTGTTTTTTTTAGCTCATTCATGAAAAGAAACAGAAATCCACAGAATATAGGGCAGGCTTGAACACCAAAGGCACATGGCTCCTAGAGAAGAAAGTGTAAAGCCAACTGATTTCCTATTTAGAAATCAGTAAAAACCACAGTCTCCTCCTGAACCTGATGGGACATGCCCTGAACTCTAATTGTAACTTTCAAAGGCAGGTGTAAAGTCTATTAATCTGTTAAATCTCTGTCTGTCTTGATTTTAAAGATCCATTCATGTAAATATAGCACTTTATGTTTTGCTGCCTCAAGGACTAGAGTCTACACCTTGTTTAACAATCAGAATGTGGAAGATTCCAGCACTCAAACCAGTGCCAAGGACTGAAAGACTAATCCAATAGATTTTCTTTTTCATGACACTCACCTTTTACACTAAGAGTGAATTCAGACACATGACACTACTATTATTATTGCGTAGGGCCTCTACTTATGCCAGCTGAAGTGATGATGTCAAATGACTGACTTCGATTATTCCACAGAAAGTGCTTAAATCTTAAAATACTATGTCTATAAAACACTGACTGCTTTCAAAGGATAATAGTTTCAAATAAGAAATAGTCAGAAATTTAATAATGAACCTAATCACTTTATCTTCTTCATAAAATGAAATAAAGAAAAGGGAAAGAAGCCATTGTGGGAGCAAAGCTTATTTAACATTATAAAGACAGAAGAGAAGCCTGCTTCATGAAAGGCCTCTATCACTCTGGGTCCCAGGTACAAAGTGCCTCTTCCAAGATCTGCTTGGGGCTGATGATACTTACAAGATCTCTGCACACATCGCACACTTGTTGCCATGGGTCCTCCCATCAGGACCGAGAACTGGATCATTTTCTCTTGTGCATCCAAGTCTTCCATCTTCCACATAGGCCCGATAAGCCCTGCATACATCCTAAAGAACAAGGAAAGAAGCCTGGCATTCATCGGCAAGATTGCAATGTTTACCACACAGTTTTCAGAAGTTTTACAGCAGTCAGTATCCCTGCCATCTTGAATGATGCCAGCCATGCAGAGCAGTTCTAGTCATGTAGAGGCAGATCGGGAAGTATTGTATCATTCACATGTTTCAGCATGGAACTTGTTCCTCATTCATTCATTCATTCATTCACTCAGCACACAGTAACCATTATGCTAGAACTAAAGGAAAGCATAGTCCTTGCCCTCAAATTGCTTACAATGTCCCCAGTGAGGTAGACACAGAGATGTTTACAAGAGTATGTTCTTTTGGAAAACTTTGGTGGAGGTAACCTCCGATGCCCTGACAGTACAAAGCAAATACATCAAACTTTGAAAATGAGGAGTGTTGTTTGACTAGAAAAAGTCAAGTGTGACATGTGCAACATCCTTCCTTCCCTACTGTATGAGGCTCGCAGAATCTTAGCAGTGAAAATAGCTATTTACCCTAACCTTGTTTTCGTTAAGTAAACTGCCCAAGATCTCCTGACACGTAACAGCGGTGGGGTTTCGATTTTGAGGAAGGATGGAAGTTTAGTGTCCCTTTCACCACACATAAAGTTTCATTTATATATATTTTTTTGTTTTTGTTTTTGTTTTTTAAATAGAAAGTCAAGGGGCTGGGGATTCAGCTTAGCGGCACAGCACCTGCCCGGCAAGTGCAAGGTCGTGAGCTCAATTCCTGGTACCGGAAAAAAAAAAAAAAAGAAAGTCAAAACCCTGCTGAAGGTTCTAGCCACCAAAGTTAATGATCCTGTTTCAGGAACTACCAATTGCTTTTCTCTATTTTCTGGTATTATTCAATAATCTATTTCAAGTAAACCCAGAATATCTTTCAAGCGTCACACCTAAGAAGGAAGAGGAGGGCATATGCTTCCTCTGTGAAGACAGGGCCCTGCTATTCTCACCCCGACTCTTGTCCTCACCTCCACGGAGTTAGGGCTCCCACATTCTCCTTCACTTCCTATGTCGACTTGAGAACCAGTTTTCCTGGAATCAAAGATTGTAAAGACAGCTGTTAGTATCGTATCGCTCTCCACCATTCAAAACTTATTTCTCTTCATTGTATTGTAATTCTTTTTTCCTCCAGAAAAACAATGCCAGATGGCATCCTTTTCTTTAGTTACTTTTTCCAAAGAGAGTTTATGTTCCTAACTTTAAATCAAAGAAATGGATCATGTTGGAGGGCTGATAACAGAGCTGTAAATATTATTTCCCAGAATATTTTTCTTCCTGTGTCCAGAGTGGGGATCCATGTCAGAAGATGGATAAAAGTAAGTCTTAAAACTACATATTCAATGTCTCTCCAAGAACTTTGTTGTTGCTCTTGTTTTTTAAATCAACAAACTCAAATTTGTATTGTCTGGCATGTCCTTATACCTGTCTTCATTTGGGGTACACTGACTAGCACTGTATTTTTTTCATAACAAGTACCTAAGTTCCTGAATAATTAACTTTATTCAGTCTGCTAGAACTATAAAGAACATCTAAAAATAGAATCATAAGTGTAAGATGCTTCCTAATTTCTAAAAAGGTAACTTACAATTTAGCATCTATATAACAATAAAAATGCAATTAAAGCAGTACAAAACACACAAAATATTTATGAGTGATAAGAGAAAATGCATTCTCAAAACATTTCAGCTGAAGAAAACTATTATAATTAAATTCCAGTATTACTGTGGAGTCTCCTAGAAGCCAGAGCTAAAAAAAGAAGCACAGTGAAAGGAGGTATTACTCTCACTGTACAGTAAAAACAAGATACAAGAAATATAGGGGAGAAATTTTTATCTGGGCCAACATTTAAGATGAGACTCTTTACTTAAGACATACTAAGAAATGTACAATGTGTTCATTGGTGTGTTACAAAATATATGTCTAATAAAAGTGTATATGTGTTTCATATGTCTAGTTTTGCTTTCTGTTTCCATGCATTGACCCTTAGTGAAAGTTAAGAGCCTGACTTTAGAGTGTTTTCTGAAGATGCAGCCATGTGAAGGATCACAGATGTAATATGAAGATACAAGGGACAAGTTCTCAGAATCTCAAAGAATGGAAATGAGCTGGCTAGCTTTCTCAAACATTCATTTTTACATTTATAAAAACTATAGAGCAGGCAATCAAAGATTGAGGTCACAAGCCAGAACCTGCAAGGCAGGTTCACATATTGTTGGTAGAAGATAATCAATAACAAAACCTACCAACAAGGGTGGAGAAAGAGCAAAACAGAGATAAAATATAGGACAGCAGGATGCTTTATCTATATGGCAAAGATTGAACAGATGAGAAGAACTTCTAATATTAAAAGTTTACTATTAAAAATTTAATATTAAAAGTTTCAACTACCTCCTCTAAGATTTTTAACTAGTACTTAATCATTTGATGATGAAATCATTGTGTTTAGAAAAGTATCAATAGATTGATAAATGACAGAAGATAATATAGAAGTTTTTAAATGTGTATAGAAGTGTTTAGGTGTGTATTTAATATGTATCATGTGCATATATGCCATATATGTGTGAGTGTACAAAGATATAGACTAGATACAGTGTGCCTAGATATAGACTATATGTATATACTATATATACTATATATAGCTACTGTTTATGTCATAATGACAGTGATAACATTTGATACACTGCACATAAAAATGCGTTATAAAACATTTATGGCATTATATATACTTTTTCTTAAGAATATTAAAAGAAATGGTACTAATAGTTTATGGATGGCAAATTCATGCCAAACAAATTATCTTAAAGGATGTAGGATAAACTGTCCTACAACTCTAGAAAGAACATGCCTTAGTGGGAAAGCCTGCTTAGGAGAATACTCACGCATTCTCAGCACACAGCTCACATCTGTTACGATATGTTTTTCCATCTGTGCCACAAACAGCAGCTTCACCTTCATTACAGGTAAAATCTCCATCTTCTTCTCCTTTCTTGAAATCATCGCAATTCAGCTACAAGAGACATGATCAAAAAACATCGAAATATAAGATAAAATATTCCTGGTATACATAAATAGGCTAACATTTAAACCCAGAATAATATAACTCACATTAGATCAATAAAATTAGATCAATAAAACCACAGGTATAAAATATGAAATTAGAAATAGAAACATAATTAGATTTCTGAAGACAGTGTTCCCAGTGTGATTTCAACTATGTGCTGGGTGAGGCTCACCAGGTCACCTCTCTGAAATGTAATATACTGTTTATCAGAATCAAATTCTGCTTGCTTTCTCTAGAGAGCAGGAGTGAGGCGCAGTAGTTAACAGATATAAAAACTCTGCAAAATATAAAGTACAATAAAGATTTTATTATTTTAGATTAGAATAGTAATTAAAAGCCAGATTTTTGGGTCCAGAATTCCAACTCTATGACTCATGAGCTGCATAATTTGGGCAAGTAACTTTTTTTTTTTTTTCCGGTACTGGGGATCAAACTCAGGAACTTGCACTTGCCTAGCAAGCGCTTATGCCACTGAGCTATATCCCTATGGCTCAGTAAGTAACTTAACCTTTCTGGGCTTAAGCGTCCTCATTTGCAGAATGAATATAACTTCACCAACCCCATTAGACTACAAGAATATTTAAACATGTTAACGTGCGTACAGGAATTAGAAAAGTGTTAAAGCACAGCCATCTTTTTCTTTTGTTTTGTTGTTTTATTTTAAATGTTTTCTACTGACAACCAGCCCAAGAAAATGAAATATCATTTAAGAGATCCCCAAATTTCTGCTTTAATAATAAATAGGACCTATACTTAGGGACAACTGAACCAGGTGACAGTTGAGAACAAATGTTCAGCTCCCAGACCTGCCACCTACTCACTTCACCTCTGCTAACCTCACTTTCCTCATCTGAAAATTGAGAATTCACACCCTACCCACATTCCGGATTTATAGTATCGTATAATGCTTATGAAATGACATTTGGTAACCACTGTTGTGACATATTACCTAACAATCCAGAGTTAATTTGAATTTAACTTCTATCTAGAGCCAAATGAGTGAAATTTGAGGTATTTTCCTTCATGAGACTATCACAGTGCAAAATACATTTTTTATTCCATCAAGGTCACAGTAAGATATTTTAATGGTAGATACCGAACATCTAGAGTATATTCTTTTGATGAGATACTATGCCATACATATAAAAAATTAAAAGTAGGATATATGCAAATACATAGTGAATTTGTATATCAAAAAATCAGATTAAAGGATTCTCTAAGAAGGTAATGAAAAAAGAAAAAAAAAAAGATTTTAAAAGAGAAAGAAAAAACCATGGCACTACTCCACAATCAATGTTATGTGTTTAGGAAGAAGTTACAAGTAGAGCAGTGTAAGTTGAGAATAAGTGAAAATAAAATAAACAATGGCCACAGATGTCATTCATTAATTCGTTTACTCAGCTGCTCCACAAAGTTCATTTCACATTTATGAGACATTACGTGTTCTAATAGCCACGAGTCTGCTGCAGCAAAGAAACAAAAACCAAGCAGAAATAGAATATTGTTCCGAGGAGCCAACCTTCCATAAGGAAGATATAGGCAACATGCACAATTTTATATTATAATAAGTGTTACAAGAAACTAAATTGCATAATATAATAGTTCCAAGTTTGGTGATTTTAAATATAAATGTATAAATATTGAAATATAAATATAGACATGCATAATATTTGAAGGCATTCATTTACATTTATATAAAATGTGAAAACTCCATTTAAATACATTAAAACTTTATTTAGATATATTAAAATATTTATCTTTATTTAAATATATAAATGCATAATTATAAATATATTGCATATAAATATATACTGAATGAATACATAGCATTTAAATATATTTATATTTTAAATAAATATGAATATATAAATACAAATATTTAAATAGAAATCATTTTAAATATAAATATTTTAAATAAAAATGTCCTTCTACAAAGGGGACATTTGGGGTGAGATGAGATTAGAGATCTGAGGGAGGAACATTGCAGGTACAAAGTTTTATGATTGCTGAGGGTTAGTGCCAGTAACTGGATAGTTCTGCTGAAGGGTAGAGAGAAGTGTGGTTGAAGCTTAAAGGAAAAAGCATGAAAACTGTTGGTTCTCTTTCAAAAATCATTTCTGGAAACTTCAGAGACATGAGAAATTTATGGACAGATGCAATTGACTTGGAGTGATTGATTGCTTCCTCTCACCAATCAAAAGCCACAAACTAGGTCGCAAGTGTTGACAGGGAGATGCCAGAGCAAGTCGAAAGGCCAGCTGGGAGGTGATGAGACCAGGTGCAAACATTTTCTCCTCCACTTCCTTCCCATCAAACCCAGGGTGAATCACACCTGCAGAAAATACCTCCCTGATACCAAGTGCTTGCAAGTGGATCCTGACCTGCTGGAGAGGCAGTAGGCATTCTAGAACCTTCTGTTCTGATCCTTATTCCTGTCCCACATACTTGACCTTGAACATTCTCTAATTCACTTTTGCAGAAAAAAAATAGCTAAAGTCATTATGGAATTTCACAGTAGACATGCTTGTAGATTTCATGTGTAAAAGAACATAAAAGAAACCCAATACACTAAGCAAAATGTAGTGAGTGAAACGAGAAAGAAATCTAATATACTAATGAACATGTATCATCTGGAAAAGAATTGTTGAAATGGATAGTAAAATAATAAAATTCCAATTATGCAGCTGAGCGTGGTGGCATACACCTACAATCCTAGAGCTCTGGAAGGCTAAAGTAGGAGATTCACAAGTTCAGGGCCAGCAACTAAGCAACTCAGTGAGAACATGTTTCAAAAAGCAAAAATGGCTAGGTATGTAACACGGTGAGAAGGCCCTGTGTTAAAATTCAGTAATAAATAAATAAGTTAATTAATTAATGTATAACTTAGACAAATAAGAAACCTGTAATTTGAAACAAGAAAATATGTATAAAGGAAGAGCAAAGTAGAAGATTTGAATGTAAAGTGATAAATGAAACATTATAAAGATTAAAAATGAGAGAGGTACAGAAAGATAAAGAATTTACCAACCAGAAAATGAGATCGAGGAATTCTAGAAGACAGTGAAAACTATAACTAACTTAAAACAAACAAGGAAGTCTAAAACGCATAAAGAATTGAATTAGAAAATGTTGTCGGTCTGTTAGTATTTTCCTCCTTTAATTTCTAAAATTAGAAAAAAAAAGAAAGAATTGAATTAGAATTTCCCAAAAGAGATAAACAAGTATAGTTAGAAGTAGCTGAGCAAAGTGGAAAGTTCCCAGAAGTACTGAACAAAACAAAAGATCAAGAGGAAGATAAGAGCAGCCATAATGAGTGTGAAAATCTAGTTAATAAATAAGTTAGGGAGAAATACAGGCTATTTTCAGAAAATAAACTTAGACCTAAAGTATATTAGAGGAGAAGACACAGGTATTAGCTATAGACAAGCACTGGTATTAATAATGATAAGTAATTGAAAGTATGGATTTTAATTCAGGCTAATTCAATTGTACACTCTGTACTCTCATACAGCTGACAGCACAGAAGGTTTTCTTACACTAGTGTTACCACAAACATGACTGAGGCACTGCTAAGACTTTATAATGGCTATGACATTGCTAAATGATAGGAACTTTTCAGCTCCAGTATAATTTTATGGGACCATCATGGTATATATAATTTTTCATTGACCAAAAACATCATTAAGTCTTCTATTTTTCTCAGCAACGTTTTTAATATAAACTTTGCACTTATTTTGTTAAATTTATTTCTATATATTTTATGCAGAACAAATAATTTAATTTTGAGACAGTTTTTTGTTAATATATAGCAAGACAACTGACTTTGTATTATTGGTTTTATGTACAGAAATCTTGTTCAACTCATTTATTATTTCTAGTATTTGTGTGTGTGTGTGTGTGTGTGTGTGTGTAGGGCCTTCAGACATTCTTTGTATAATATTGCTGGATTACAACTCAAGGTAGCTGTTTCTTTTCCAATTGCTGTATTTAATTAAGTCATTTTACCTAATACTGGCTAGAACCTCCAGTTCAATGTTGGAGAGAGGTATTTGGAGTAAGTCACTCTTTGCTGTCTTCTCAATACTAAGGACATAGTCTTCACCCTCTGTACCATGTTTGCCATTGATTTTTCATGGGTGTTCTTTATGAGACTAAGAAGGTTTATTCCTCAGAGAGTTTATTGTATGAGTTTATTCTGAATAAGTGTTAGATTTTGCTAAATTCTTCTCAACACCTATTAACATTATCACTGGTTTTGCCCTTTGTTGTAGCAATAGGAAGTGTTAGACTAATTTTCTTTGTTAAACTAACCTTGCATTTTGGGGATAATTCCCACTTGGTCACGGTTTTATCCTTCACATGTTGGGGATTTAATTTGCTAAATTTTTTTAAGGATTTTAATTATCCATATTTATGATGAACGTTTGTCATCAGTTTCTTTTCGAGGGTGGGTGTTTTAAGACAGGGTCTTGCTATCTAATGTAGGCTGGGCTTGAACTCACTATGTAGCCTAGGCTGGTCTCAGACTTGTGGATCCTCTTGCCTCACCCTACAGAGTGCTGGGATTCTAGGCATGTGCAACCGTACCTGGCTTAATTCTTGTTCCTGTGATACATTTTTCTGGATTTTTTTGTATCAGAATAATGCTTGCCTTATAGAATGAATTGAGGAGTGTCGCCTCCATTTCCTGAATGAGTATGTGAAGAACTGGTGTTATTTCCTCTGTCACTAATGAGTTTTAATCAGCCAATCTAGTCACATGGAGCTGGGATTTTCCTTGATTTAATTACTGATTCAAATTCTTCATTTACTATTTTTCTATTTCAATTTTCTATCTCTTCTTGGTCAGTTTTAACAATTTATTTGTTCTAGGCATGTTTCCATTTTATCTAAGTTATTTAACTTTTTGACATAGTTATTGTTTGTAATAATCCCTTATAAATAAG